TTTATAGGCCACGGAGGTAATAGTTCATCTAAATCGCAACAGAATTGGCCTAAATTTTGGTAGCGCAAGCATTGTAATCTCTAAGACTCTAACAGTGGGTTCAGGGTTCATTTTGCATGCAGCATTGTTTACTGATTCTTGCCCCAACAGTTTATTAGATGCCCATGCTTGTCTGTGGTCATATGTTAAAATTTCCCATGTTAACTACCGATTCTCATTCCACGTCTTTGTTTGGAAGGATACAGGTACTTCTACAAGTTAATGTTGGTACTCATATTCTGAGAGACCCGGTTATTGAGATTCTTCAGTTTGAGAAATACCAGATGAGAAATCTGTGTCCAGAGAAGCCTGACGCACAGAATTTCGCTAATGCTGATCCATATGGACAACTTTTAACGTGGTTGCTTCCTTTGGACAATACTCTTCCTCCTCCTCCTCGTAACTTATCCCCTCCCCAAAGAGCTCCTATTCCAGTTCTTGCTCCCACATCTCAGAAGCCAGTGTCTTCTGGATCACAGCTTTTCTCTCATTTCAGAAGTTACTCCATGTCATCACTGCCCCAGAATAGTATTCCACCTCCTCAACCAGTTAAAGCCCAAAGTTCTAAACCAAACTTTGACATTGATGAGTGGGGAGAGTACTCATCTCAGAAGTTGAGACAAAATCGTCAAAAGGATGGCGATGGACTTCTCTCTTTCAGGGGCGTGTCATTAGAGCGAGAAAGATTTTCAGTACGGTGTGGTCTGGAAGGCATGTACATTCCAGGAAAAAGATGGAGGAGAAAACTTGAAATCATTCAACCTGTAGAGATCCATTCCTTCGCTGCAGACTGTAATACAGATGACTTGCTTTGTGTTCAGATAAAGGTGTGAATCTGGGAAGAATAAACTCTTGCTGTGAATATATTTGCTTAGTCTTCTAATGCTTCTGCATTTGTTTTCTTCCTCAATGCATCATGCTTCTGCAATTTCCTGTAAGGAACTTTCATTTTGCCAATGCCTTGTTAATTTATCAAGTTCTTCTGCAGAACATTTCTCCAGCACACTTGCCGGATATAGTGGTGTATATAGATGCTATAACGATGGTTTTCAATGAGGCTTCCAAGGATGGCATGCCTTTGTCCTTGCCAATAGCATGCATTGAAGCTGGAGATGATCACTGTTTACCAAATCTTGCCCTCAGGTGGTTGTCCACTCTAGGTATCTTTGTTTTCTCCCAATTGGTGCGTGCTAGACAGTCTTTGAAGCCTCACCAGTCTGGTTTCTCTTCAGTTGGAGAACGTTACTTTCAATCTTTTAATGAATTTGATTACTTTCTGGGGTCTACTGGAGAGAGAGAGGGACTTCTGTTTTGTTACTGGTGGAAAGCATGGGACTAAGTTTGAGAACTAGCTACTGAAAATTAACGAACCAGCTCCTTTCAAGTCTCACCATCTTTATTATGTTTTCTCTTTTGTTGGAGAATTTACTTTCTGTCCTTAATGAACTTGAACATTTGATATACTTTCTGGGGTCTAGTTTGAGATAGAGGGACTTCAGTTTATTTTTGGCGTAAAGGATGGGACTAAGTTAGAAAACTGGCTAGTGCAAATGAATTAACCAGTTCCTTATTGAATTGTTGAGTTCAATTGAAGTCCGCCATGATGATGCGACCAATTATTGGGGACTTTACTAGTACGTTTGAGTTGATTAGCTACCAGTTTAAATTTCGTACTCATAAGGGAATTGTGAGAGGTATAAAACGTTTCTTTTTTCATGTTATCTCTGTTTGTGTAAGCTGAAGTAGTTCCCCAACTTTAAGTTTGTATGGTGCATTGCTTGTATTCCTTTCTATTTATCTTCATGTTCCAGGATAACATGCAATCTGCGTTGCCCATTATCTACAAGCAGACTTTGATATACTTCTATAACAAAGCTTTCTAGCAAAGTGGAGTTCTGTGCAATTTTGTCTTTGCATAAGTACATGTGTATCCTAAATTATTTATAGAGATCTATGACGCTGCAACTCCAATTTAAAAACCCCGAGTTCTGAGTTAATGTTTGATTTACAAGTCTTTCCCGTGTCATTGTCGATCCTGGCAGGAGAGGTGAAGAGCATGCTTTCATCCTCAAACCAGCATCATCAATGTGGAAAAACCCCAAGGGTCTGGGTGAAAAAACTTCATTTTCAGCAAATACACGCCCTTCTCATACTTCTACTGAACGGAGAAGTAGTTATTCAGACTCTGACATATATGCTATTATGGTATCTTGTCGCTGCAACTATACTGGTATGCAAATTGCTCTTTGTTCAGTTTCTAAGCTAATCTGTTATTTAACATATACAACATTAATTTGTTCATAAGTACTACTGTCTTCTTCTTTGAATAAAAAATGTAGAGTCAAGACTGTTTTTCAAGCAGCCAACTAATTGGCGGCCACGTATCTCTAGGGATCTTTTGATCTCTGTTGCACCTGAACTGTCACACCGGTCTTCTACCAATGAAAGAGTTTCCCATCTTCCGGTTCAGGTATTTCCTTCTCTCCGTCTTTATTATTCAGTGTTTCCTTGAGCTATAAATGCCTCTGTTTCTCTTCGTGGTATGAATTCCTGTTTCCTGGTCCAAAAATCTTTCAGGTCCTAACCCTCAGAGCCTCCAATTTGACAGCCGAAGATCTAACTCTAACAGTTCTTGCTCCAGCCTCGTTCACTGCTCCTCCTTCAGTTGGGTCGTTGAATTTACCATCAACTCCCATGGGTGCAGCAGTTGGTTCTATGAGAAAACATGGTAATAAGGTTGGGAGCAAAACGCACAGCAGGGTGGCTTCTGCACCTCCTGCGCTAGAGCAGCTGAATGAGGGAGGAGAGCTATCTGGTTCCCAGTCTTCGGCCATACCTGATGTCATTTCAAGTACTGGTTTCGGTTGCACTCATCTCTGGCTGCAGAGTAGAGTTCCATTAGGGTAACAAAAATCAGTCTTCTTTCACATTATTTTTTCATTTCTAAGATTCTGACAAGAGTCAACTTATCTTAATCTCGTCTGTAATCAGGTGCGTCCCTGCAAATTCAACAGCCACAATCAAGCTTGAGCTACTTCCCCTGACCGATGGTATAATCACACTCGATACCTTACAAATAGATGTCAAGGAAAAAGGTAATGAGATTCTAGCATCTGCATCTTTGTTCTTGATATTCACCAAAAAGGTGTCATTGCAATGCTTTCATTCTCTTTTGTTCCCTCAGCCTGATAAAATCTGCCTGTGCAATTTCTAGATTGTTTGCATCAATGAGTTAAAAATCTCCTTGCCCCATTTCCTTAGGTCCTACCCGATATTTCTGGCACAGGGTATTATCTTTCTGTTGGTATGGTTTCTCCGTGGGTCTTCTATCACTACTACCCTTGTCAACTTGAACCAAGCGAACAGCGCTGCTTACTGTGTTTTTTGTCATAATATGTTCTTTCCTGACCAACTAGGTTGATTTCATGAGTGCATCGAGCCCCGATGGGAAATTTTTAATGGATGTTAGTTGAGGAGTTTAATGTTTCCTTTATGAGGAACTTCTCAGTCTCTGAGGTTCTTCCTACGTGCAAATTCTCCTCCAACTTGGAGCTGAATGGCTGAACTTCTGTTGATTAACGCGTTCCTTCCAACTTCGCTTCTTTGAAACAGGTCTAACATACATTCCTGAGTACTCCCTCAAGATCAATGCTACGTCCAGTATTTCCACTGGCATTGTTTAGGCATTTTGGTTCAGTGTGTAATATATGCTTGTCCCAAACTTGATCCTTCCCTTTCGAAGGAACATGGACCGTTGCTTGGGCTTTCCGTAGAGCAACACAAAGCAAGGGACAGAGGGAGGGAGGGATAGTGAGAGAGAGAGAGAGATGGCAACAACTTCAGATTTCTTCATCCATCTCCACTGCACAGGAAGATCTATGTTATTTTGGTTGGTTGGTTGTGTATCATAAATCAGGCGTTTCCAGGAAGAGATTTTCTTTCTCGTGTATACGACGTTACAGGGGAAGTAAAAGTAAAAAAAAAAAAAACAGCGGCGAAGTTCATACTGTAGATGATTCAATTGTGTGATTGTACTAATTTGCTCAAAAAAGAAGTATACTACGAGACTAATGAATTTTTATAGCGATTTCAGTGTCTACTGTATGTCTGCTTCCCATTTTGTTTTCTCGTTTTCGGGTATATGCATTTCGATTTTTGTCCTCTGGAGCCTGGTCAATATATCACATGGCATCGTGGATTACAAGCTGGTTCTTAGTTCTTACAGTAAAAACTAAAAAGAATCCAGAACATCGTTGCAATATGATGGTTTTTGGTGCTACTTATATGGACAACAGTCATGTTTCTCTCTCACATCACAGGACAGGGCAAATCCAGATGTATACGGAGAGATTAAGGTCCTTTTCTTTTAGGGATGTTTATATTTGCCATGCTGAGATGGGATTCTACCCAAGCTCATAGCACAAACAAAGGCAAGAACCAACTCTGATAATTCCGATGGCTTTGAAAACCTGACGCAAATCCAGTGTTAATAGCGTGAATGGTCACTTAAGTTTCGGCTACTTACCTCTGAACGTGAGTGGCTTCATCGTCTACCGAGGGATATTCGCATTGTTATTAATTCGATTCTTCATGATCGCACCAAATATATTGAGGTTTAAGTTCATACATTCCTATGATGGCACGATTCGCCTCTTCTACATTGCACCAAAGGATCAAATTGCATAATGTTTTCACCCAACCAATTATTATTAGGGATGACAATTTTGAACTGACCAGTTTTACTCGACCTGTTTGACCTGTTTTGGGGCGGGTCTCCCTTGCCCTGACCCGCCTCATTCTCGACCCCGTCTTTACCTAAATTACATGTCTTTTTATTACAATTACTTATAATTTTACTTTTATTAATATGCTACAATAAAGTTTTAAACATGTGAGAACTTCAAATTTTAAATAATTTAACTACATTTATCATATTTTACTTTATTTCTTGGGGGTTTAATGAAAAAATTGAATATTTACTCATGGTTTTCTTCTAAACTAAATACTTATTGGGTTGACCTGCCCAACCCATAATCTGTGATGAATTATCTGATCTAGACCCAACCTGCTGGGGCGGGTATAGATATCGAGATACCCACTCCATTGTCATTCTTAGTTTTTACGGCTAGTCATATCTTTCCTGATGGAAAGTTGATGATGTGGCGGCCTCAGTAATTTGGGGAGGTTGTTGATTTATAGGATTAGTTTATATTTGTGTGTAGTATGTATTCATATTGTGGCATATGACCCATGCATTTATGAGTTTTAGTCATCTTAGATTATGGGCGAATATGGGTAAAATCCATACAAAATTTGATGGGGATAGATCGCTTACGATTTTAGGCTTTCATGCTCTCTCCCTGCCGAAGAACTTGTCAAGACCATGGTGAGTGTCTTTGGCACAGGCAAGACACCCGAAACTGCAAAGGTGGGAGTAAGTAGGCACACGTCCCAACAAACCTCAAAAGGTGTCTTCTCGAGAGCACAATCGTGAGTAAACTGTTGATCAAGTATGTGACAGTGAGAACACACTCTCCCCAAGAAGCGAATTAGGAGCCCTGCGTGAAACATAAGAGCATGAGCCATCTCTAACAAATGGCGGTGCTTCTGTTCAACTATGTTGTTTTGCTTGGACGTGTCTATGCATGAGGTTTGAAAACCTTGAAGGATCATATCGTGTTCCTGATAATATGCTCGAAACAAGGTGGTTTGGACCATCGATACGATGAACCTCCTTTTCAAATTATGTGCGAGCCAACTGATAGTGCATATTGAGATAACATTCGACCTCAGACTCAAACCTCATCAAGTAAACCATGTAGAACGATTGTAATATTCTATAATAGTAAAAAAGAAAAAAAAACAAGATCATCCAAATGTGGAGTGTGATACGCCCCCAAATAATCCTTTCCGTCAAACATGAATCACAGTGCGAAGGATCCGAAGGAGGAAATGTAGAATCCAAAAAACCTTACAAACTAGTGAGCTTGTCCAAATAGGGATGGCCAAAACGGGCATGCCATACAATAGACAACGTAGCAGATCGTGTCATTAGGTCTAAGCAGATAGTACAACCCAATCCTTGGTGCCATCCCATGGTCAATGAAACCGTGCGGAGATCGTATCGGAAAAGTCAGCGTTAGGGTATTATATGATAAAACCGTGGTTTAATCATAGTTCAACCGTTATACCGGTAAATACCGCATATCAGTTTAGCCTTCGATACTAGTATTTCATGGTTGAACCGCTGGACACTGGTTATCCCAACTATAAATTCTCATCTCACGCAAGCATAAGCCGGCTATTAGATAGAAATGAAACGCATTGCACAGCCATAGGAATGTAACTAAAAGAACAAGTGGAACAGATGAATGGAACAGAGGATTGCTTACTGACACCAACTAAAAGATTATTTTCTACAGTGCCAATATCCGCCAAAATGTGTGAAAGGGGAAAAAACCCAGCACAAATAAACACGATCAGTTCTATGTCCATTTGGGAAAAGGGATATAAATCTCTCTTCATTCTCTTTCCAAGTTATTGCTCCTCTCAACCCTAACAACGGAACGCCACCACCAAGACAAAAAGTTGCTCAGCACAATTGCATCTTTCATGGCTTCAGGGCAACCGCCAGCCCAATCTTCGCACTCTTCTCAATTGCCCTCGTGTCCACCTCCCCTGATATGGTGAAGAGGGACTTTGGGCGCCAAGCGTGCTGGATCAGTGCACTCGCTTTCCCGTAGTTGTTCACTCTGCCCTTCACAGTGGTCAAGGGGTCGAGGGCATGCTGAGTGCCGACCGTCAGGGTGTTCTCGTTGCTGGAGAAACTGTGGGTCAGCTCCGCACCAACAGCTGTGCTGGTCAGTGGACTCACGGTGTGGTAATAGGAGGCCGTAAGTGTATCTCCCTTGTCATTCCTGCAACCATTCACACAAGTCCAGTAATTCATTGAACATGAACCCCACAAATAATCCACATTCGAAACACAAGCAGAAACAGTTTCTTAAAATGAAACTGAACTACAGGCACTCTTTTACACGATATAATAAGTGCTCAGCATCAGATAAAGATGCCAACCACCATGAAAACTAGAAGGCATAGGGGCTCACAAGGTAACAGCAGCAACCAGGTCTGCATTGGTGTAGCTCAAACCAGCATTCAATTTGGTGAAGTTCCCAGAGGCAGTGTCAAAGCAGAGGTCGGTACCAAGAGCTACCATATTGTTACCGACTACACCAGAGAAGTTAACAAGTGGACTTGCAGTCATACCAATGCTAGTGCTAATCCCAGTGTACTCGTGTTGGTACTGGAGTTCCACCTGATGTCAACCAAAAGAAAATGACTAAGCTATTGAATCAATTAGGTATACCATAATGAAGTCAACCAATATAAATGAGGCCAATTGATCTTTTCCAACAACAAACCAATCAAATGAAAAGACAGAACATTTACCCTCCGCAATAGGCAGTAATTTGCAGAAGGATGACAATTAGAGGAGACCACTTGCCCTCAAGGACTAAAGAGGGTTTACCTTGCCAGATCTCTGATCAGGGACCTTGAAGCTAAAGATTGTCTTCAATCCAGGAGCGGGTTCATCAATAGTGACGGTGGTGAACAGCTACAAAGAAGAAAGAACAGTTCAACTTATCAATTGAACAGAAAGAGTATTTCAATGTACAATCATGGAAACATCAGTGCACTGCATGAAAAAAAAAACCACATAGCCATCGGCAACCAACCCCAAAACATAACCAGGTCATTCGCATGAGAAACACACCCATGAGAAAAACTCAAGCAGATCGGAGCAAAGCATGGTGTAAGACAATGAACATGCATAAGAAACATATACCAGCATCCGTAACCAAACCCAATTTCCAGTAACATAGCCAGGTCTAGGACAGCAAATGTGACAAGAGTGGAGCAAGACAACATAACACAGTGAATATGCACAAGGAACATATACTGGCATCAGTAACCAAACGCAATTTCCAGCAACACAACCAGGCTTAGGACAGCAAATTTAACAAGAGTGGAGCAAGACAACATAACACAGTGACCATGCCCACATATGATCTCAGAAGCCACTACTACATTCCGATAGCTGAAAAAGCCTAGAATGGTAAGATGAATTCGAAAAGGGAAATGCTACCATGCGCAAATCCCAATAACATTGCAGCCCCTTTCCTGACTTACATTAGAACTCGTGTCCACCTTCACGTCCGTGGTGACGTTCTTGTTCTTCAGCTGAGTGCTCACATCGGCCAAGATCAGCTCACCTTTCTTGACACCAGTCGAGGTGATTGCCTGTAATGGGCAGCAAAAAGTTACCACCATTATCCGCAAAGTACCAGAAAAAAACAGCAAGTAGACTGTTCGACCTTTTCATCCTTATACTAGCATTGAGGAGGCAAAAGAGCCCTGAACCCTAAGATGAACTACTACACACACGCAACTGAAATTGGGAGGAACTAAACTAATCATTCTTCACAATCAGAGTGCCAACCGACTAACACCAGACACTGTTTTCCACGCCATAAAACCAAAACCAGAGGAAAACCTAAAAACAAAATCGATTCGAGGACGAGGAACGTACGACTCCATTGGCGGTGTAGGTAGTGAGGGTGAACTTGTGGTCCGACTGGTAATCCCTGTAAAGAAGATCTGGATCAAAAATAACACCGTCGATTAGCACTTCGTAACCACAAAGGTAAACCGCTGATCGGACCAGAACGAAATCGGAGAAGTTTCAACGAGAGGAGGAACTCGATCGGAATCCTACCTCTGGCTTTCTTGCCGATATCGGTGTAGAGACCCGGACCTTTCCCCATGATTTTCCCCGAGAGAATGGAAAGCAAGAACAGCGAGAGAGAGCGCGAGGAAAGGGAACGGGGAAGAGAAGCTCGGCGTCGGCGTGGAGTATTCTAGAGAGTATTTTCAGAGCTATAAAAATTTACGAACCCTATTTTGTCTGTTGCAGGAGTCTCTTCCCTGGGGTGCGATCTGGGCCGTCGGATCTTGCTTGCTTCGCACATTCGTCTTTTGCGCCGTTGGATTATTTATCGGGGGGAGGGAAGGTGTGAGTTTGTCGTGGCTATCAAGAATTTTGGGCAGCCGGGCAGATTGCCAGATGCTATTCCAGCTGGGGCATATTCGTCCTTGCGGTGCCGTGCCGCACTACGGCTTTTCTTAAATGGCCCGATTTGGGCCCGAGTTTCACACAATCTGCATGCGGAGACCAGAGTCGGTTAAACAGGCCCATGAGTTGGCCCAGCGGGAGACTGGACGACTAATTAGTTAGTTTTTTTTTTACCGACTGAATTACGGGGCATTATTAATTAATTAAATTATATATTTGAAATTTTTTCAACCTCTTTGACTTCGCCAGCACGTAAATTTATTTTCCCCTCAATCCTCCCAGTTTAGGTTTCCGAGTTCGTGTGATTATCTCAGCGCGCAATCATGGCTATGCAAGCTGCTCTGGGTTCTCGGGTCCTGCTAATCGCCGGAGCAGGTAGTTTTTGCCGCCGCTGGATCACCATTTTTGGGCGGCGTTTTAATGTTTCTACTATCGCTACGGTATCCGTCTCTGTTCCCTTGATTCTTATTTGACTTAGTTGGTCTCGGTTACAGGTTATTTAGGTACTGTGTTGATTCAGAAAGGCAAATTATCTGATTTGATCGGTGAAATTCAGGTAATCTTCGAAGTGGCGTGGTGTTTTGGCTCAGTTTCGCAAATTTTAGTTAGTAGATTTTGCTGGAGCTAGTATCGATGATCTTTAAACTGTTGATAATTCTGCATGCGAGACATTTAGGGCTATGGGGTTGGTGGATTTTTCCTTGTTTGGCTTTCTGTTGGGTGATTTTTTGGTTAGAGAATTGACGTCGCTACGTTTATGTTTGTGTCAGGCTTTAGTGAAGGGAATTGAGAAAGGTGATTCGGATGGCGAGACGGGTCAGGCGGACGTGCTCACGCATCAGGTAAAAGAAGGGTTCACGCTTTGGTTTGGGAGTAAAATCGGTTCTTGGATCTCTGTCCTGAGTTAAATAACGTGCAGTGTTTGACTTGTTCTCCTCCTTTTCTCTTGGAAACACTGGAAGGTGGGTCTATTGACCCAACAAGTTCGACAACTCGGTTCCTTCCGGCACATTACGGTTCTGAATAATGGTCAATCAGGTATCGTGTCTAGTTTATTTAGCACCATCCGAGGAGGTTGCGGAAATTCGTACACCTTGGCGTGTATATACATCTGATGAATCAAAACCTGCTTAGTTATGAACTAGGTCAGCTGGGTTTTTTATTTTCCTTGTGGTTATTGCAGGTAATTATACTGGTCTTATAATTCCAGCAGCTACAGTTGGAGCTGTGGGTTATGGTTATATATGGTGGAAGGTAAGTGAAATTGCTGTAGACTGCTCTGACAGTAGAGTAGTCTTCTTATTGTTTCTCTGGGATGTAGTACTTTGAAATTATACTAAAGTTTCCTCTTGCTCTTAGGGTTGGAAAATTTCAGATCTTATGTATGTGACAAAGCAGAGTATGACAGCTGCTGTTTCGAATTTGACAAAGCATCTGGAGGGCGTGACTGATGCTCTGGCTGTAAGTTGTCTCATGTGATGGGCTTCTTGTTTGTTTTATTCCTCTGACACTCAATATAGTAAATTAGTAGTCGGTTAGTTAGGTAGTTAGTTACTCAGTTTATCATTTGATGAATTGTTTTAATTGAGCTTGCTGCGAAGTTTCTGCTTAGGCTAGACAAACTGCAGGGCCTTAGCTCCATGACTTGAGGAAGTTAGGATTCTGTTGCTATCTTGTAATGAACCCACTATTGCTTACCTGTATAGCATCTAATAGTGATTTGTGTTTTCTTGTCGCCCAGAAAGCAAAGGAACACCTAACACAGCGCATTCATGGTTTGGATGATAAGATGGATGTGCAGAACGAGATCTCTCGGAAAATTGAAAGTGATGTAAGTGAATTTTCTTCCACAATTTTTCATTACCATTGTTCTTGGATTAAATGGATTTACCTTTACCTATCTCCCCCACCCAAAAATAGAAATAAAAAATAAAGGGATTACCTGCAGGACACTACAACTATGTGATGAGTAATTCTGTATGTTGTTTGGAGTTTATGGTGCAAGTTTGATGTGCTGTTATTTTTATTGTTAAGCCACATTTTGGAATAATAGTAAGTGCAGTGTCATTAACCTGCCCATCGTAAATATCTTTGGCATTGGGGCTGCCAGCCCCCCCCCCCCCCCCCCCCCCCCCCCCCCCCCCCCCCCCCCATTTCGTCCATAGGAAGGAATCCAGAAATAGAATATGAAAGAAAATAGAACGAAGGGAAAGAGGATCGACTCTGCCTATTTATTGGAATGCGATATAAGTTTTTGATTGTTCAGCTAAGAATAGTAATGTCTGAGAAATGGTATAGAACCAAGTTTCGGAGATTCCTTTTTGCAAAAGATATTAAACTAATCACCATCTCCATCACTTGTTGCCGCCTATGTGCACATTGTTGCTCATGAATGGTGTGAAATGCAGAAGGGTCAGGTTGTCATAGTATTGGTTATTCTGGCAGGTGCACATTGTTAAAAGGAAGAAAAAAAAATCCAAAACATGGTTCCGAGTCATGGGTTCGCCGGTCATGTTACATATTTTCCTTTGTCGAAATATGCATTCAAGACCTGTTTGGAGTGCTAAGAGTAGTCATTTTTTCCTAATACTATTAACTATGTGATGCAGGTTAATACTATCCATGATAATATTCAGATGCTTGATTCTGAAGTGGGGCAGTTGATAAGTTTTGTCAGTGGGTTGGTAGGTTTTCCTTTCTAATTGTGCTGTTGCACGGGTGCTCTTGGAATCTGTACTGTTTTGTCATTTGCTTCGCTTCTGGTTCCTTCTTCTGTGATGGTTGTTTCATGATTCAGACATCACTTCCTTTATTTTGCAGGATAAGAAGCTGGATTCATTGGAGTACAAGCAGGTATGTTTTTGATAAGCTCATAGATACATACAAGGTTCAACAAGGCATAATTCCAATGCGCTAGGCAGTGACAAAACGCCTCGTCTAGACTCTAGGCAGACAATCTGGCATTCATAACGCCTATGCGACTATTATATAAAGCTAGGCATGATTAATTAGCATGAGGTGTGATTAGTCGAAGTGAGATGCTCTTAACACATTGACATACAAAGAATTACGAAAAAATGTAGCTGATCTTTTCGAAATGACTTCTTCAGTTTTCTCCAGCTCCTGTCGACCCAACCTTCTGTCCTACTCTTCACCATTGTAAATCTAGGAAATAATGAAATGTTTTGCTTGTTGTTGAGGGTTAGCTATGTTATTAATCATTTGAAATTGAACTAAAGTAAAAAAGTGTTATAAAATTGTTATTTCAACTAAAAATTTGCTATTTTTGCTTTGCCCATGCTCCATTTAGGCGTGCTAGGCACTAGGCAGCGAATGGCTGCCTAGCGCCTAGCGCATTCTTGAACCTTGGATACGTAAAAGGCTCTTCCAGTGGAGTTTTTTTTTTTTGTATCGAAGAATCAATTATGACACCCACACACACACACATTTGTGTTTCATCTTTTGATTCTGGCTGCCTGATTTTTTTTTTCTTTTTCTTACAGAGTCTAGCTAATTATGGCATTGACTACCTGTGCGACTTGGTCAAGGGAAAGAAAGTGATTATGTCCAAAGAAATGGAGGTTAGCAAATGCATCGCTTTAGCCAATGCATATAGTAGTATAGCTCTCTTCTGTTTCAATTTAACCATAATTCTTAGAACCCAAGTCAAAATAAATGCACATCAAATAGGTCTAGCTCTTGAAACACTCTGTAATCATCAAGAAGGATGGATGGTCTATTTTACAACTTCAGCATTTTCCTTGTGACTTCAGTACTAGTCATCTCCTTGTTTTAGGTCAACCATTTTCCATCAGTATTATCGAGCAATCTTTCATGAAGGGGAAAAATATATGATACTAGCCATTAAAATATGTCGTGTTTCTATTTCTTCATTGAATTTGTTGCAGGTAGAGTCTATTTCGGGGAGCAGTCGTGCAATTACATTCCCTGGTGATTCAGGTTCCATGGTAATGATATATTAGTCTGTGTTGGTTTTGACATTTCTGGCCTTTATTTTGTTCATGTACTGGTATAATTCGAGATGGTTATCTCAATGAAGTATGTGGTTTGGTAAAATTTGCATTGTCCAAAAATTTGGATCCTTCTATGGTTATTAATGCATTAAACTTGGTTGTCAATATTACCGTAAGTCCTAAAGCAGCTGGGATCTACTTCGATACTTTTCATGAGGTTAATTGTCAAATCATTGTGGGTTGTGAATTATGCCATGGCCCTTGCTTCTTTCTATCAGTTTCGGTTGGTGAAGGATATTATAGAGAGTGGGCAGTGTTTCAATGAAGTATACCACGTCAACCTGGGAATGCATACGTAGATTCTGCCTGTCTGTTCCAATTTGTGCTTGGTATACTTTCATTAAACATGCTGCTGTCACCCAAGAACAGAAAGTTCGTAATGTGAAAGACCGATGAAATCGCAAGTTGGTCCTGCATTCTTTCTGTGGCACTAGTCTCCTGGGCTGATCAGTTTTGTTTCCATTGCGTACACAGGGTCTTAAGGCGCTGGACTGTTTATCTAGAAATCCAAGTGTTACTGATGGCATCCAAGTGAATGGAGAAGAGCCACAGTCCCCGTTCCGTCTTGTTCTACCCAGGTAAAAAAAAAAATCGCAACTCAGTTGACGATTGAAACGTTCGTCTTCGTAATAGTGCAGTATTTTTTACAATGATGTTTGAATGTCTGCAGGGTTAATTCTGTGAAGGCTTGATTGACTAAAGGTTTCACAACTGGCTGGTTCTGACAGCAGAGTAGGGTTATGATTTTCGGATTGCATGCATGTCTTTCTTAAAATATAATAAAGGGGTTTGAGAAAAGCACCCTAGTCACGTCAGCCTTGGAGAGCTCTCCTTAATTTTCGGAATTAGGGTGTTTTTTCACTTTTTTTTTATATATATTCCTATTTTTTTCCGAGCAGTTACCATCAATTATTATTTGTTAACCAACGTGTCCCTTCTGTTTTTTTGAAAGATTGTATTTTTTCTTTTATTAACTTTCCGTGTTTTTTTTAATGACCCCAAAGATTGCATGTATTAATGAATTTTGAATAACTGTACAAATCTTTTGGGAAGATGTAGATCTTTTGGGGCATTTTTAAACTGGATTTTTAGCTTTGATGTTTAATATGTTCTTCTTTATAAGAAAATTATATTAATAATAACATATCTAGAATATATATAACTCAAACTGGATAATCGGTTGGGCACCGAAATCACTAAATAAGTTACAATAGCGGTTCGATTCATTTGATTGGACGGTTAATGATACATTGAACGATTTTAACGATTTGACGTGAATTAAGAAGAACCACCCAGCTTGATTGACCCATAGGTTTATTATTTAATTATAAAATATTAACATTTTTTTTTTACATAAACCAAAACCACCCAACCTCAATCACTAATTTTATTTATAATTTATTTTCTTCATTTCCCAACCTATTTGACACCTCTATTTGGTTCACTACGGATTGTCACATGATTACTAACTTGAATTTAATAAAAAAAATTTGATTTCTTTGTTAGATAGTTTGAATATTTATTAAATATTTTTGGTGGTAGATGATATAGGTTTTTGAAATTATTTATGATTAGTGATAAATGCACTTCTAAATTAGTGTATTATGGCTTTTATGTTATAATGCATGGACGGTTTTATAAATGATTAACAATATTCTATAATGATTAACCATTGAACTATCAACCGCTAGCTTTTTTTGGTTGAGAAACCAAAGTATGAAAACATAACATTTTATTATATAAATATTATTGATCTCAAATACACCTAAAATGTTATAATTTTGATCTAGACGCAATAAACCTCTTTAAAATAAGCATACGAATAAGAATATATGAGAAGGTTTTAGTCTTGACTTCAATTGAATAGTTTTTTTAACATTTTTAGTATTTTGAACTAAAATATTGTTATAATCAAATCAATTTTTGTAATGTTACATATATTCATAGATTACATTGTTAAAGAAATACTACCAGCCCAAAGGGCAGGGTTTATGCTAGTTGTTTGAGTACGGGTTTAGACATGGTTGGGTTGTGATGAACCATCTAGTATATATAATACTGAAGGCCGGGTGAGGTTTGTTTTATTAAGATTTATTTAATTATCTACAGTATTAGGATTGGCTATTAAATATTTAAATTATTTTATATGATTGCAATCTTGTAGTCTTAAACACATTCTTCAAAAATTTGTCGGTCATTCACTTGTGGCTTTATTTTTGGTTTATGAAAATGTAAGCCAGGAGCTAATACCAACTACTAAATCACACCACACACTTAGCACTTGCAGTTGGCACAGAGAATTGATTTTTTTTGTTGCTTCATAATTAATTCTTAATTTTCGAAATTATTTTGTGATGATTCATTTTGAATAAGTTATTAATTATTTGATTTTTGTGAAACGATGCAACCCTTCAGAATTAACTATAATTTTTTCACAATAAAAAATTTCATGGCTGCTAGACTTCTTTCTAACATTCTTCTTTTTTTATTCTCGTGTCATTCTCAAATATACAAACACAAAAATTTAAAAGATTGTTGCTTTCAAATTTTAATTGGAGGGATTATTGGAGGTGATTTGCCAGATTCCTACCAGCAATTTAGTCAGGAGGACAAAAGCAAAATATGCAAGAAGAAGAGGTAGGAAAATTCGAATTTAAAATTTCTCAATTAAAATCAACAATGAGACAAACTGTGTCCATCTCATATCAAGCAAGAAAAAAAATACATAATAGAACCTATCCAGATGTTCGGGAGGGGTTACGGTGCTAATTGTACAATAGTTAGCACCGTCCTAACCAAGGGAAAAACTACTACTAGTTTGAATTAGTAGTGATTTAGCTTAGATATTGTATTGATTTTATAATAATCTGTAGTGATTTTTGCTAGTTATCACGGTGCTAACCCCTATAAGAGTTAGCACCTAATCCCATCCCCAGATGTTCACCTAATCTGAATTTTTAGATTAATATATTTGGGTAGACAACAATTTGATGACAACACTAATTCGGTAAGTTAGTTAAAATCATTTAACCTTTCTTAATGAAAGCAGAAATAACAACGAACACAGGTAGGTCAGTTTTATGACCGGACTGTCAGGTTACATGGCCAAAAACTTGGCTTTTCCAGCCTTTTCATCTCTCACGACTGCAATATACAAGTACATCAAATCACCTTCATCGTTGCTTCTTGATACAAGTCACAAGAGTGTGCATATTATACACAAAATGGATGGTACTTTGTTTTAATTCCTCAACTTCAAAAGCAGTAAAAGGTACAGACAGCAAAAGAGCTTCTCAAATATGGTTAGTGAAAAAAGTGGCAGTAATTAAACGGCTACCAAAAACAAAAATAACTCAATGGAAAGGAGATGGGAGGGTTAGTGATCCATCCCAGAAGGACTGCCCTCCTGCTGATGAGTTGTTGAACAATGGCAACAAACTCTCTTCCTCCTTCCACTCCAAATTCGACAAACCGGTCGCCTCCTTGCCACTGCCATTCCCTGATGTGTACATCATGAAGGAGCTCTGGCCTTGGCTGATTCCATTGCAGTACATCTCTGCTGCCTCCTGATCAATCACTTCCTCTTTGTGTGTCCCAACCACTGAGGAGAGCTGGAAGTTCCTTAGCTCAGTTGACACATGGTGGTCTTCAGTCTCTTGATGATTGTTGTTATTACTACTACTACTACCACCACTGATGCTGCTACTAGTGTTCAAGTTCTTCTCCACAAGTTGTTTGAACACTGATGACTTGAGCAGGAGGCCGAGTGCCGATGGGGAAGTAGTGGTCGATGATGCTAGTGATGAAGATGACGACGAAGACGACAGACAAGTGTTCTTGTTGCCACTTGGAGGGGAGAACATGCCTGATGGTCTCGTCTGGAAGAGTTCATGCTCCAGTGGGTTCTCGTTCAGATTGTCTAGTATTCTAAGGCTGGAATGTAGAAGTGGGAGGTGGTGGTTTTGTGGTGACATTGTTGTTGTTGTTGTTGCTGTTTTGTCAGTTTGGAAGTAGGCCATGGAAGGACAAGAAGAAGCAGCAGCAGCTGCTGTAGTCAGTGGGAAGCTTTCAAGATCCAGTTTGGAGTCATGGTTTTGTGTAACATCAATGGAAGAAGGGGTATCGGATTCCGGTTTCAGCCACCTGATGTATGTGCTGAGATCGAAATTCGTCACAGCATTGATACCACGGTATTCGATTGCTGCTATGTCATAGGCTCTAGCTGCCTCCTCTTGGGTACCTGGAAGCAAAAAAAACCCAACAAGAACCAAATTCCTTTCAAGTTCTGTGAAGGTTTCATAGTTCTTGTCTCAAGAATAAGAATTCAGTTGTCTTAAAGACTTACTGTAGGTCCCAAGGTACAAGTACTTGTTCCCAAACACTCTCCCTATCCTTGCTTCCCATCTTCCATTGTGATGGTGCCTGTCAAAGGTATTCAGCCACCTTAGCCAAATTTTCTTTTCCAGAATTTATCTATCCTGGTAGCTAAAAGATTTTCTTTTCACTGCCCTTTTTCTTACCTTGCAACTCCTCTGTATTTAGACACACCTCTTGAGAATCCACTGCTTCTTCTGGTAAACAAAAAAAATCAAAACTTTGGTCTGCCAGGACTCAGGACAAAGGCAATAATTGACTTTTCAGAAACTCTGGTTCTTTTTACCTTCTCAGTGAAGCAAGGTACTCCTCTTTTGTCACATTCTTCATGATTTCAAGTTCATTTTCATAGTCCAAAACCTGCAGCAGAACCGTTGGAGACATTAGAACCAGAGTGTAGCCCTCAATAATCAATACCAAAGTCCTTGAAATTTATGTCTGGAATCATACAGGAAAATTTGTGAAGGCTGACATTCCCCAGTACTTGAGAGCAGCCAGATCATAAGCTCTAGCAGCAGATTCCTCTTCATCATAAGCACCTGTCAGGAATACAAACAACAAAAGAGAGTTGGTTAGCTTAGTAAGTTTTCTTCCATAAAAAATAGACTCGGGATTGGATATCTATCTCATCAACCTTCAGTTCAAAAGATTGATGAATCAGTGCTACTCACCAAGATAAACTGTTGCGTGCCAAAGAGGTCAAGCAACCACATGAAAAGAGGATACAATCATTAGTTAACCATTCCTGAAACTTAAAAGAGGCACAACAAAAGGAAGCAAACTTTCTCAGAAACTAACCTTGCTTCCCTTTCTTCTTCTGGGTTGGGTTCCAGGATCCCTTGTCCCACAAATGAGCTTCATATCTTCCAGTCCATCTATGCCTGTAGCAGAATCAGAATCGATTAGAACGAATCTTGCCTACCCTTTCGTCAGATCAGGATTCCAAGCCCAATGCAACTCTCAAAGAAGCAAGAAAATTCAGAATCCCGACACAAACCTGCTAACTCCCCTGAACCTGGAGCTTCTCTTCACAATGGGAGCAGTTGTAGTAGTACTCGTCGTAGTAGCAGTAGACGACGTAGCTTGATTGGCACCTTCCTTGCTGCAGCTCGACGCTGCTGCTGAAGAATTCGGCTCCCTACGCCGCCTTTTAGGAAACTTGGCCTCCACAACTACATCACCTTCCATAGAGGCAAACCTGCGCTTCACTTCAGGAATGTTTTCAGGAACCATCTCAGCTTGTTTGTTTGTTTGATTTCTGCCAAGGATTAATAGGAGAGAATGGAATGTCTGCCTTTGGTTTTGCAGTAAGTGTGAAGTATTTATACATGGGCAATGGGCTAGGAGCTTCAGTCATTATTTTGTTCAATTCCTAGTTTGGATCCTGCTGTAATAACAACAATGGTACTGTTCATTTCCCAACAGGACAAAGGCTAACGATGTCTGCAAGGGAAGCCCTGTGAGATGACAAAATTACAGTGGGAAGTGGTGGGCTGTTATATAATATACTTGCTGCTTCACAATTAAGCTATTTATTTATTTAACTTTATAATGATTAATTTACCTAATCTTCTTGATTCAGATTCCTACTGTCAACAATGTGCTTTCTGTGTAAGTTTCTTGGGATTATCACTGTTCTTTTCTAATTATTGACAGACTTTTCATTTGTATTTGGAAAGTAATTAGCTAGGATTACTTTATATTATCTTAATTAAGATGGCTAGCCAGACCAGGTGGCTGGAAAACATCATTCTCACGTCAGAAAAAAAACAACAAGAAAAGAAACATTGACAAACTGGACTACTAATTAGTTCAATTACACCCAACACTTCTGCACCATAGGTCCATAACACCATGGGCAGCCATTGAAGGTCTTGAATAATTTGTATGGAATTTTTTTTATTTACCATTTGTTTCAGTCAAGTATTTTTAATTTTAGAGTTGAGAAAGTGAAATTATAAATATCCTATGTAGCACTCTAATATCTAGTCAGGTTAATCCATTTTGAGTTACATTCTAATTAGTTCTGGGATAGGTTCTGCAAATATGTATTCACTGCTCAAAAAAGTGGATTTCGTCCATTTTCTTTACTTGGCCTATGATCTTCGTCGTAGCAAGTGGTACTAGAGTCTTTTCGGGTGACTCGTTTGGGGTTTTTTTTTTCAACAATCAAGGATGTGTGCTATGAACATCAAGGCTCAGAAGTTCACTAGGAGAACTAGTTTCGGTATATGACAGATCAATATGGCAACGTTTTCTGAAGCAGCAAGATAATAAATTCAGTTTTGGGAACTCATCATAAGAATTTTTTTTTTTTTTTTGTTGAAAACATGAAAACACAAATGTGGGAAACTGGTGGAAACAACATTTTTGTTGTTTTCGGAAGAAGAAAAAAAGCAGGAAGCTAGCACTTTCTGTTTCTAAGGTTGGAAACGAACCAAGAGCATAATGAAAAGTAAATAGGTTTTCACATTTTCGTTATTAGATTTCTCAAATGGAAACATGAAACGGATCCTAATATGACGTTAGGTTAATCAAGTTTGGAACTAGTTCTGTAATCGTACTCTTTTCTCAAAATAGTTTGTTCTCCCTTACCTTGGATGCTATATTAGCCCGTATACATTGTGTTAAAGAACCATATAATTTTGTGTGTCATTTATTCCCTCACTTTGTCGGTTGCCTTACGTTGGCTACCTAATCTGATAATGAAAAAGGATGTAGATGTCGAATTACTGGTTTTGTGTCAGTTGGCAGAAGGGATAATTTATAGCTATAGCCTGTGAGTCGGAGGCTCTTCATAATGGTGAGAATGAACCCAACTACTGGTACTGCTACTCCAGTAAAACTTAAATGCTACTTTACTCTAATTTAGGATTTAATTACTTCCTCAATATTATCTTATTGATAACACCAATTAGTGATAATATCTTATGTCCCTCCAAGGAGGTGATAATGTGTTAACACTCTTATGGTACAAAGAGTGCTTACATAGTGTGATACTAAAAATTATTTAATCCATACCATAAACTTGCAAATGCATACCATAAACTTGATTTCCATATGTGCATTATTTTTTGGGCACGGAATCACAATTATCTAGTATGGATTCGTGAATCTTTTACGGTATGGATTCACAAGTCTCTTATATGATGGGGACGGGATACGGTGACAACCCCTAAGGGGGTTGTCAGATTCACAACCAAGGGTATTTTGGGTATGGAAAAAAGGAATATATTAATTACCTTTTGTGTATTAATTATATTGGGAATTAAAAACCCATATTAAATACAATTTTTTTTAAATTTGAATCCTATACATTAATATCTCTATCTATCTATCTCTCTCTTCCTTTCTCCAGCGGCCACTCCGCATTGACGGACATACTTTTTCTCCGGCGAATTCTCTCCGGCAGACTTCCTCCGGCAACCTGAAAAAATGTACCAGTGCGTTAAAAAGTGTACCAATCCATTAGTCTACTGGTAATTAATATACCAGTGCTAGTGGTACGCTACCAATGCGTTAAAAAATGTACTAGTGGTACGCTACCAGTACAACGCTACCACTACCATTGGTAGCGGTACCAGTAGAGAATAAATGTACCACTAGCACTGGTAGCGATACCAGTAGAGAATAACACAAAAACACAGATGATAGTGGTACCAGATGATAGTGGTACGCTACCAATAGTCCACTACCAGCTACCTAGTCTACTACCAGCTACCTTATGGTAGTGGTAGGTACCACTATCACTGGTACGCTACCAGAAAAAAATGGTACCACTAAAAAATAGATATAGAAAAGGGGAGTCGGTGACGGGAGAGAGAGGTAGGGGAAGAGGGTGACCTCGCGACGGCGACAGTGGTGGGGGACGAAGGGCGGCGAGAGGGCTCCGACGGGGAGATGATGATTGTGCCGCGGTGGTGGGAGGCGGACGTTGCGACGAGCCGGCGGTAACGAGATGGCAGTTGAGATGGCGGTTGAAGGCTCGACAGGCGGCTGAAGGCGGAGGGGCGCCGACGCCGGCGATGGAGATGGCGGAGGGCTTTGCGAGAGAGGGAGGAGAGACAGTGATGGCTACGGGAGAGAGGGAGGAGAGAGAGAGGGAGGATGGAGGAGTTAGGGTTTTTTCTTTTTATATGGTAGGGTGAATGATTGGGTGTGGTAAATTTTTACCCTTTCAAAAATATCCTTCTTTTAATCTTAACCGTTAATTTTAAAAAAAGAAAAAGAAACAGGAGAGAGAATGTATCCAAAGGCTATGAAGTGAGTTGCGAATCTGACAAAATGGTATCCCGTTCCTTATATGCATTCACAATTGTATGGTATGATTGGCACTTAGCCTCTGTGGAGCTAGCGGACCAAACGCCAAAATGGTAAGACGTGCAATTAACGATGAAGACAAAATGGGAAACTTGGCTCATTCCCAATGGCCAAAAAATCGTGTGCATATATATATATTGGCTTTTCAGAAACTGGAATTTTTGTTGGCTGGGTAAATGGCTCAAACAACCAAACCTGTCAAAAAAAAAAAAAAGAGTTGCTGGTTATTGCTATTATTGCAGTAGAATATGGCCAATGGAAATGAATGTTGTAACAATATGCGAATGAGGGGAATTCATACCTCGGCATTGGGCCTCTGGATTATCCGTCGACCCAACAAGATTTTTAAAGTCTGTGTGTTTGGTTTTGCTGTTGTTGTTGTTGTTATCCTTGTTGTTTTGGGTGGGTGCTTGTTTGATTTCCCTCACTTTTTCCACCTAACACTTTCAAAACTATTGTCGGGTTTTACGAAGGACAATCGATTCTGTAATAATGAAAAGGAATGAAGAGAAAGAAAAGAATGGACAGAAGGGGGACAAGAAAAAGAAAGGGGGGATGAAGCTTCGGTCATCGCTTTCATCTAAGCTATAGAGATTTGGTGTTGATAACTGATAAGACAAAAAACTAGCAAGAGTAAGACCAATACACATACAAGACACTTGCATATATGGCTACAAAATATATGTATTCTGATGTTTTTTTTATTATTATATATAAATGATGCCACACACACTCATATAATTTCAGGATTAATTGATGTTAGTAAAAATTATCGCAACATATATCTCTGTGAAATATGTTTTTCCAACATCCATATAAATGATAGTATAAATATTTGATTTCACATTGATAGATGGTTTTCAAAATCGTCGTGGTAAAAAAAATGTCACTAGAGAGGGTTTTTTCCTATTTTGCACCGCCCAACCAACAGTGGCGGAGCGAGAAGTTAAACTTAGGTGTGTTCGTTTTTCATAATAAAAATAATTTCGATTGAGGATATCACTTATAACGTACGTAATAAAATTAATTTAATGGCAATCAATTAACAATAAGTGAGGTTGGGTATATTGACAAAAATATATTTACTAACCTTAAATTGGTTACTTCAATCCTTTTCATATGCATATATATAGGAGTTTATTATCGTTTTCTAAAAAATTATTTGTGTCCTGTGACATAGCCTAACTCCTCTGGCTCCGCTGCTGCCAACCAAAATGATTTGAATAAAAACTTCAAAACGACTCGCCTCAACCGGTTGCCTCAAAACATATTTCTAGCCTGGAGCAAATTCCCATCCCTCACATGATGATTTCTCTGCCACGCTTGGTGATTTCTCTTCTCTCCATGGAGTAAACTCTCTTCTCATCTGGGTATGAAGAACCCTAGTCGTATATGTTAGGAATGATTATATGAACACGATTTCGTGGATGATTGATTCGATATATTCGATTGAGGCATTATTCCGAATTGCATGAGTCCTGATCAAACTTATGTGATTCCTACTTTAATCTAGAATGATAGTCTCTGCATAGGTTAATAGACCAACCTTAATTGGAAGTAGTGGATCGACTACTTTAATCGAGGAATCAATTCACTGCTTCTGTATGGGAATTGAAATATAGTAGTGGAAGTTAGGTGTATTAGTGCCTTGGTTAGCTTACTCCAGCAGATGTTAGTCGCCCGTTGGGTTTCGAACTAAGAGGGTCTGGAATTCTTCAGTCGAGATTCCAGACTTGTCAAGAACTTTCCGTGTGGACAATGAAAATCTGCTCCAGGTGGCTAATCGTTACTCCAAGGGTGAGGAATTGAGCTCCGAAGTCTTTAGATCGCTCCAATCCTTTCCCATGGGTTGTTCTTCGTCACACACACACACACACACACACACTCTCTCTCTCTCTCTCTCTCTCTCTCTCTCTCTCTCTCTCTAGGGTTCTCTCTGGCTGTTTTTTCATTTTGTTGTGAGCCAAAAAGCACATGCCACATGCTTGAAACTTTAGGTACACATGCTCAATTTTAAGAACTTCCTTCATCGCTCACTTTTACTTTTTGCAGAAGTCATGCAAGAATCATTTTGTGGAACCTCTAGTAAGTTCAAATAATGGGAGCTTCAAGACACAAAGGTAACTCTTCATCGATGTAGACACAAAGAAAGAAAGACATACGACTCAAGGGGTTGATTAATGGGTATGGCACACTGGGATAGTGAATTTGGTCGAGGACTAATCTTATGCCTCCATCTTCCTCATTAATGACAACGTGGATGCTACGCATCATAGTAAGAGGGATCTATCACATAAGAAAGAAACTAGCAGACACAAATCTCACAAGGCTACCTATATGCTCTATCTCTCATTCTGATTCCTTAAACTCGATACATAGACAACTGTATTTGACTTGTTTACCTCCTTTAGAAAATCTCAAATACAAAATAAGGAATGTAGAGCTTTTTCATGACACATTTTCTCCCCTTTTTTACAGATTAATTTTTTTAGTCAAAATAAGCAATTATTATTCATTTTTAAAAAAATCAAGTATATACTATTTGAATACATAAGAATTATTAATATTTCAATTGATAATATTAAATATTCACTTGTAGATATATGATATATAAAGAAGGGATAATACCACTAGAAAACCCAAACTATTAAGAATGTGTCATTTGTGTCCTAAAGTATCCAATATAACATTTGTGTCCTAAACTATTTTTTCGTTAGAGTTGACCGACGTTGACTGTTAGTATTTAACAAATGACACATTCTTAATAGTTCGGGATAGGACATAAATGACATGGAACTATAATAGGTTGGGACATAAATGACACAAAACTATAGTAGGTTGGGACATAAATGTCATATTAGATACTTTAGGACACAAATGACACATTCTTAACAGTTCGGATTTCCTAGTGATATTAGCCTTATAAATAATTATTCGAACAAACAAAGTATATGAATTATTTAATATGATAGTATTGAAATAATATGTAGATTCTAACTTAGAAAGTTTCAAATGAATATACATGACCGTAAATGGTTCGATATTTGTAGTCAATTTCTTAAATTTGACAACGTGGAAATAGAATCAAATATTAAATACAAATAATAGATTGCTTTAACATGAATCATTTGAATGTAGAGTACTTTCATTTCAATGTGTAATTTACAATGTTGCGGCCTCCTCTTTTACTAGCAAGGCTACAAAAAGATAATAAAAAGAGATCTCAACACAATTGATCAAATCTCATTATCATTTGTCTAACTACAATTTTCACTTTTTCCGATTTCAAATGATAGCCTAAAAAATGGGAAGAAAAAGATATGTAGAGAGAAGAAAAGGGGAAGAAAAAAACTCACTCAAATTCTTCTTTCATCCCACCTTTACCTGCTTGTCACAGGATACACCAAAAAGAAAAAAAAAAAAAAACAAACATCTCATTAATGATGCATTCCTTTAATCCTTCTAAGTCTTTTTTTCTTCTTTTTACTTGAGAGACTCTTGCATTAACTTTCTTCTTCCTCCATCGACTCTTTCCTCCTACGTTTCGCCCTATCTTTAAGGTACATCATACAAACAAATCGTATGACGTATATTCTGTTTTTTCTACATATAGAGATAAGAAGTATGTGTGAGATTCTTCTTTTAATCATCTTTAAAAAAAAAACAATTTTTTTTCTTTTACTGTGTTAGTGTTTTCATCATTCAGCATGGCTTCCCGACAAAGCAATCCAGTGCTCCAGAAAAACGAGTCAACCTAGTAACAAAGGTTCCAGGCTTTTGTTTGATGAGTTGTTGCCTCGAAACTTTCTTGTACGCATCAGGGTTTCCCGATGGTACGAAGAAAGCACCATTCATCATCAGATCTCCCTCCGATATCCAGTCCCAATGCTTCCACTCTGATTCTTGCGCATACTCCCTCTTTGTCACCTGATCATCATCATAAACATAAATGATAAACCGTACGTACGTGTTCAGAAGTTTTCCATGCATATTATTATGAAAGTTGAACGTTATTGTTTTGACTCTTCTAAGTTCTTCATTTTACCTCTTTGGATGCGACATTTTCTGGAGCAATGAAGCGATTACCCTGGCTGATAATGGTGGGGTGGTTACTACCACCTATGGCGTACATTAGCCAGTGAGTGTAGTCATTGTTTACGACATGGAAGAAACCCCATCGACACCTCGGCATCCTTTGAACCAGACCTTTCCCAAAGTGAGTGAATGCAATTGTAATTTGCATGATCGAGTCCCCAGAGTAGCTCCCACTCGCTCCAAATAACATCACCTAATGGAAAAGAAAGAAGGATAAAGAAATTTGCGATATTATTAAGTCGAGTCGAATTTAATTTTGAATTACCTCATTGTGATCGGTGATATGGGCGTTAGAGATGGTGACGGCGGTGGACCCCATAATCGCGTCGATGATCCCGTCCCCGCAATTGGACATGGACACGTGGTCGATCCACACGTTAGTCGCCCCGTAGAGAGAGATCCCATCGCCGTCGCTCCTGGTCCGGAAACCGAAGTGATCCACCGAGTCGCGGATCAACCCGCCGGCCCCGGGAACGATGTCGTGGACGTGGAGCCCATGGATGATCACATTGTTCACGTACTGGAGCGTGATCCCGGGGCCGTACGCCACGCGGACGTTCGCCCCTCTGGCGTCGATGGTCTTGTCGCTGCTCACCATGAGCTCCTGCGTGAGCTTGATGATCATGCTCCGGCCGAAGGTGATCCAGAGGGGACCTTTCTGGATCACCGCGTGTCGGAGCGTCCCGGGTTTCGGGTTGACCAGGTCGGTGTCGGAACCGTCCGTGACGACGTAGACGGGGCCGCCTTTTCCTCCCGTGGTCCTGTACCCGAAACCCTGGACGCAGTCGGCCAGCTTCTGGCGGTTGTTGGCCCAGTTGGGATCGCACCGCCAGCGTCGATCGATGGGGTTGGTCGCCAGACATTTGCCCATGTACCTCTTCATGCTTCGTCGAGTTTGGTTCGACCCGAATAGGTCCATGTGAACCATTGTGTTGAAATGTTCTGTCACGTTGTACGGGTCCGGGTGGTACGTCTCTAGAGCCACCCGTTTCGCCTCCTCAGCTCGTTGTTTCCAATAGTTGTCGAAATCGGCAATGTGAGCGTCAAGGTGGGCAACTAAGGTCGTGAACATGACCAAGAAAAAGGAAAACTTAATAGATTGGGAAGCCATGTTAGAGAATTTTTTTCCCCCGTTTTTGTGTGTGTGTGTTTTTTTATTATCCCTGGAGAAAAAGGGTCAAATTCCCAGGCTTCAAAGTCAAGGTCCTGAAAGGTTCAGGATCGCAATTGGCTGTCCGCGCCAACGGACAAACAGCCAGAATGAGAGGATTTTTTGGGTTTTTTTGGGGGTTTTATTTTTCAGAAGCCTGGGAGACAACAAAAGATGGCAGGCATGGATTATTTATATACACAAGCGAGAAAAAAAGGAACTAATTAGAGTAAAAAAAAAAAAATGATGGAGGAAATAGAAGGGAACATTAGGCGGGAAGTGTGGAGTGCCAGGCATATATCGTCATTTTTGTCTTCCTATTCTTTTGTTTTTAGTGCTTTCCCAATTATTTTCGCAGTTATCTTTTGCGTTCTAGCTTTGTTGAAGGGTCCCAATGATTCTCACTAACACAATATATTCTTTCAGCTACTATTCTTCACTGTTAATTTTAGGTTATCAAACTTTTAATACATGACATGACAAAAATTTCACGAGCATAATTCTTTGGTAGATATCTCTTTTTTTTAAACGCAATCCGCCATCAAACTAGAAATATTAGCAGTTTATGGTTTCCTTATTAATCATTCTTGAACCAATGGTTAATCGTTTCATGAACCGCTTATGCATGTAAAATATGATACATGTTATTAGATGAATTTAAAAAAAAAAAACTTCTAAAGCAATATTTTGATTACTACATATGACTTGGAAGGGTAAACCAAACCTCTGTAAAATATTTTTTGTTTTTGTGACAATATCCTGTCACCACCATCAGTAATATTTCGTCACAGAAGTTCATATTTGTGACATGCTCACACTTAGTCGGTACTATTGAATATACTGAGGAGAGTGAGGACAATGAAATCTATGGTAGTCACGCCGGCGGAATTTCGGTCGGTTAAATCAGATTTAACCGGTGCAGTTCATGAAACCGGGTTGAACACCACCGACATGATCAATTTATGATCTCTAAGCAAAATAATATCATTTTATTGAATTTTAAGTAATACATTTAACTATTTATTTTATGAATTGCAAAGTTAAATGTTGATTTTATTTGTTGGATTCAAGTATAAACGTTTAGGTATTTGACGTTAAATGTTGTATTTAAATATGAATATTTGTTATTTTATTTGGAATTTCATATTTATTTAAATATGAATATGGATTGTAATTAAATTATCTTCAAGTATGTATACATATGCTTAAATTCATTTTATGTTAATGGTTTTGCACAATTTTATAGATTTTCTTAAACCAGTATGAAACGACACAAACCTGTTATACTACCGCTTGAACAATTTCATTTGCTAAACTGACGCAATGTGTAAACATGTTTAACAACCTTGATGAAATCATCATTAGAAATACTTCGTTGCAAAATTTATATTTTTGACTGATCACTGGTATCGGTAATGTTAACAAGTTGCAAAATTTATATTTTTGACTGATCACTGGTATCGGTAATGTTAACAAGTTGTGTCGACGCATAATTATTTGCGCATCCAGACATCGTTCGTCACTAATATGTTATGTTTTTTACATCAATGAAATTGTTATCACAAATATTTATAATGTTTTGTGACATCGTCATATCTTGCAACGAAGTAAAAAAAAAATTCATAAAAAAAATTCTCAATTGAAACAAGATATCTTGAGTAATTAAATATAGGACTTTGCTACGGTGACATGCATGTCACCGTAACTTGCACTTTTAGTTCGACCTTATATAGGATTAGGTCGACCTAATCTGCCCTTTTAGGCCGACCTTATATAGGATTAGGTCAACCTAATATGTTGTTTTCGTTTTGTGAGGTTCAATGACGCGATTGACCTTTTATAGCAAATGGTCGACCTCTTTGGGAAGCGATGTGGGTGTTCTTTTGCTCGTATAAGTTACGTTTCAAACCAACAGAATCAGTCATAAATAATAATAACAAGGACTCATAACTTCATAACATAACAACAAAACAAACCAACAAGAAATACAATAAAATACAAATTATAGTTGTTCACACAATACTAAAATCTAAAACCACATAATATCAATCCACAATCGTTTTTACACTTAACAATAAAAACACACAATCTAAAATCGTCGAGTTCCTACTCCTGTCCTCTCTCTCCCTCATCCACATTTTCTTCATTGGTGTTGCTAGCATTATGATAGTCGGAAGTTACGGTGACATGCATGTATCTTCCACTGAAAGATCGAAACTCATCTCGCATCTCATTCACGGTCACCTGCAGTGTGCTCATCTGGGTGGTCATTTTCCCCAAATAGTCGTACATGCCAGTCATCTGGGTGGAAATCTGGCTCATGTAGTCGTACATGCCATCCATGCGCTTCCCAAGAGGCCGACCATTTGCTATAAAAGGTCAACCGCGACGAACCGCGACGTTGAACCGCACAAAACTGAAACGACATATTAGGTCGACCTAATCCTATATAAGGTCGACCTAAAAGTGCAGATTAGGTCGACCTAATCCTATATAAGGTTGACCTAACAGTGCAAGTTACGGTGACATGCATGTCACCATAGACATACCCTTAAATATATAAATAGAGCATTTGAAACAAATTTATTGGTATTGTTTCTATCACAGATTCATAGTTTCCCAACCCGGATATTTCAAAGACTTCACATAGTAAATGACTCGCTCCTACCGTCACTCTAGAAAATGGCCAAGTGTAACCACTTTAGGGATGGCAATGGGTCGGGTTGGGGCGGGTTTTGTCAAACCCAAACCCATGGGTTTATCCGCCAAAAAAACCCGGGGTAAAACCCGCTGGGTTTGAAAAACTCAAACCCAACCCAACCCACTGGGTATCCGCGGGTTCATGGGTACCCGTGGGTTTTTGTGGTAAAAAATTTACAATAACAAGTTTCTTTCAAAATAAAAGTTTAACATTAATTTTCTCATACAAATTATTCATACAAAAAACACCAATCTAGAGCATACAAGCAGACCGCAAATGATCAATACAAATTGTTCAAAATTAAAGATAAACATCTATAAACAATAAGATTAATTGGAAGCTTCTTACTCGTCAACTAAGTTTCTTCACTCTCCACTTCATAATATCAACTTCATTCTAAACAATTAGAAACAACAAATTATATATGTCTCCACAAACATAAAGAATATTAATTGTTTAAGGAAGATATATTATTTAGAGTATTAAATATACCGGGAAAGTAATTATATGTGTGTGGGCGGGTACCCATGGGGCGGGTTTACCTAAACCCAAACCCAACCCGACCCGGTGAATAGTGTAGCGGGTTTAAACCCGAACCCGGCCCAAAACCCTTTCAACACGGGTTTTACCCGCGTTGACCGGGTTGGGTCGGGTGGGTACCCGTGGGTTCGGGTTTTGTTGCCATCCCTAAACCACTTCCTAAAGCGTAGTATAGCGGGTTTGGGTTTTAATGTCAACCCGGGTCCTAGATGTGATGACTACTCAGCGAATTCTTATTATTTAGCAGTGAAACTTTAGTGCAGGTTCAAACAAGCAAACAAGCAAGCAATTAAACGGTTGTTTTCAAGTCGAGAGAGGTCACCCGGATATGGTTCCCCCTAGACTGCAGTCAAGCCGGATTGCAATTTACCAAGTTCAGTTTTAATGATAGTTATATTGCGAGAGGTTCTTAAGCAGTTTGAAGTCTCGACTAAAGGTCTCCAGACCCTCCCAATCTGAGTCCCCAGCGGGCGACTAACCTCCACCGGAGTAAACAGATTGAGGCCCTAACGAACCAAACCTCCACTACCGAAGTAAATTCGATACAGAATAGTGAATTGGCTCCTCGACTAAAGTCGCCAATTAACTACCTTCAATTAAGGGTGCTCTATCAACCTAGGCAGACATTCTCTTTCTAGGTTAAAGCAGAAACAACAGGAATTTGATCAGGATTCATGCCATTCAATCACTCAAACCTCAATTGAATATAATCAAATCATAGAATCTGTACTTGGGTTCATACAATCAGACCTAACATACAAATCTAGGGTTCTCCATACCCAGATGAATAAGAAAACTACTCCATAAAGAGAGATGGAAAATCTAGCTCAGATGCGGAAACCATACTATGAAGGATGATAATCAACTTCTGGCGCTCAATCGGATCTTCTCCAAGCTCAAGCCGGGCTCCAATGGTGATGAAGATCAAGCTAGGGCACTTGGGAACTCTGGTTCGTCACTTTCTCTCTCTAGGAATCGCTCTGTCTCTCTAAAACTCCGAAATCCCTTCTCATTTGGCTCAAATCTGCCTAAAAGGCCGATCCTGGGCAAAACACAGTCGAGGGCACGACCGTGCTTTGCTTTTGCCCGCCCGTGCCCTTGCCACGTGTTAAAAACACGACCACATCTTGGGGAAAACACGGTCGTGCCTAAAGTTGGACACGGCCGTGTTTTTAGTCACTCTCGCCCGTGTTTTGGGCCAGCGCAGGAAAATCTTGGATCAAGCCTCGACAGTAAAAGCATGTTCCAGGAACACGGCCGTGCTTTGGTTTAGGCCAGCCCGTGCTTTGGCCCCAGCTCGACCGAATGACTTCCAAATGCCCCGAAACTCGTGCTTAGCCTTTCCTTCGACGTCTAGGACCTGAAATATGACAAAGTAGCACAACCCGACGTAAAATAGGCCAAAAATACATGACTACGCCCCGCAAACGGATAAGAACTAGGGGTGCAAACATGTGCAATTACATCGTTATCAGTAAACCTGTATTGCTTCAGTTCTAAGCTTTCATCTTCTTTTAATGGTAATAATACCTTGGTCTAGCGATACGTAATACCACTAGCCTAAGACATGGAGGTCCCAAATTCGAATCCGTTCAGTAGTACATCGCAGAAAATGAATATAATGTCACCCTTATAAAAAAAATAATACCTTGGTCATTCTTCTTATAGCCAACACATTCTCGAGTTATATCATACCACTCACTCAAAAATCATACAACCCGAAGTCCTTCAATATAACAAAACTCAATGATATCAATGAGGACCCTATAGTAAAGAATTCCACCATCAGTCTCCCCTCTCACTAAGTCACCACTATTCTAACTGTGTTTGGTCAATTTACGTATTCTTGTGTGAAATCTGAATCCATGCATTGATATAATAACCTGTGTAGTGCATTCTTGTAATATGAAATGTCAACATATTTGAATGAATTCAAAAGTTAAAACACAAGTTTAATAAACAAATTTAAATCAATGAATTAGTAATTACCTCAACTAAGAACCACTTAACCAATTTTTGCTTATGCACTTCCCCAATCATACGAACACCTCTAGCACTTTCTTGGAACACGTTAAGGTGGTTACTAGAACTCTAGTAGCCACCATGACTACATTAGTATCCACCATCTATTTTTTTCTATTTTTTTAATCTCACGGTTAAGATTGCTCCTAGGCAATTTTGGAATAAAAAATAAGACCACACCTCATTATTCTATATATTCTACGCTAACCCTAACTCTGTCATCTCTCCCTCCAGCCAAATCCTATGGATGCTCTCTTTCCTCCCCAACGACGATGAAATCCGCCGGCCTCCACCGACCATCCCTACCTCTCTCTCTCTCTCTCTCTCTCTCTCTCTCTCTCTCTCTCTCTCTCTCTCTCTATCCGAACCTCCCACTTCCGCCCGCCTGTGCCGGTCGTCCCTGTTCCTCCCTCTATTTCCGGCCTTGGTCCAACGACTCTAAGCGTGATCGATAAGCGAGGGAAAGAATAGTCAACAGATCATTAGGGTAAGAATGTATGTATGATTTTAGGGCTGTTAGCGGTGCGTTTTCGGTTTTAACCGCACCGCCAAGTCGGTTAGCCGAGGCTGATGAAGAGCAGAATTCAACAACCGCAAGCTCCGGCGGTTAGCCGAAAACCGAAACCGCCAACATCGGTTCGGTGAGGCGGTTAGCTGATAACCGGTAGCAGCTAGCTTTACGGAGAGACTCGTCAGCGACAGCTTAAGGAATGACGACGAGATCTCTGTTTCTTATAAGGACGACGGGCTGACAACGCCGTGAGGACGAGACAACGACTGGATGTGAAGAAGAGGTCGATTGGGCGATAACAAAAAGCAACTCGACAGGACGCCGACGGGACCGCGGCGGGAGGAAGAGATGACGACTAGACGAGAAGACGATGTCGTCCGGCACGAGGATGGAAGCTGGTTGCAGCAGGAGGCGGAAATCTGGAAGGGAATGGAGGAGGCAGGGATGGAGGAATTTAGGTCACGGGATTTGGATATGGAATCGACAAATTGGCTTTGCGGTGTGGTCTTGACGGTTTTTGCGGTGCACCGTCGGTTTCACGGTTAGCAACCGAAGACCGCCCGGTTAGCTGCTTCCCCCAATTATCCCAACCGACACCGCTAACTGCATGTGATAAACGGTTTTCGGTTAGCCGACTAACCGAAATTATCGGTGCGGTTTTACGGTTAGCCGACTAACCGGCAACCGTTTATCACCCCTATATGATTTAGGCAACAGAAAGTGTCAATTAAACATAATTACTTTATTTGTCCCTAAGTTGTAAGAAATCACGAAAGTAGCACTCTTTCCACGGCCTCCAAAACCATAAAATGAAAACCATTTGCAAATTCGGGATGACGAAAAAAAAAAAGTAACAAAAAGGTATGTATGATTAAGGTAACAAAAAATAGTTAATTAAACATAATTACATTATGGGTCCCTCAGTTGTAAGAAATTGCGAAAATACCACTCTTTCGTCTGCCTTCAAAACCATAAGATGAAAACCATTTGCAAGTTCGGCATAACGAAAAAAATGGTCCAACAACTCCAAGCGTGATCAATAACCCAAAACCAGAAAACCGACATAAAACCCAAACCATTTGCAAGCCCAACATAATGAAAGAAACGATACAATGACCCTAAGTGAGATCGATAACCCGACATGACACCCAAAACCAAGGGCGACATAATGAAAAAAAACGTCCGATGACATTAAGGATGATCGAAAGCCCAAAAACATAAAGCCGAAAGCCATTTATTTATGAATGATGAAAAATTTTATTAGAATAAAAATTGCTAGCAGCTCAACCAATAGTAGAGCAAGCTAGCGACAATAAAAAAAAGCACTCTTAAATTTAGGTACAAATACAAGACTAGAATAGAGAGAAAAAAAGCAAAACGAAACAAAACATAAAGAGAACGAAGATCAAATAAGGTGCTTTGTCCCAGTCGTCACCCACTCGTGAAAAGAGTCCATCTGAGATCCGACTACGAACTCTTAGCCACCGTCCGACCATACGAACAATCTTCTTCCCGATCTCTTGTGGGGAGGAATCACCGTCCGAAAGCCATTTGCAAAGCCTACATAATGAAAAAATGGTCTATCGACCCTAAGCATGATCGATTATCCATAATCATAGAACCCGACATAATATTCAAACCATTTGCATGCCCTACATAATGAAAAAAATCGCCGAATGACCCTAAGCATGATTGATAACCCAAAATCATAAAAACCTGCATAAAATCCAAAACCATAAGTGTGATTGATAACCCTACATAAAAACCAAAATCATTTGCGGGGCCGACATAACGAAAAAAAATGGTTTAATGACGCTAAGCGTGATCGATAACCCAAAATCATAAAACCCAAAATCATTTGCAAAGCCGACATAATGGGGAAAAAAACAGTCGAGCGACTCTAAGCGTGATTGATAACTCAAAACTGAAAACCATAAAGCCCAAAATAATTTGCAAGCCCAACACCAAGGAGAAAAACAGATCATTTGCAAGGCCGACATAATGAGAGAGAGAAAAAAAAGGTACAAAACCCAAAACCATAAATAAGATAGAATGATAGATAACTCATCATAAACCCAAAATAATTTGCAACCCCGACACCACGGAGAAAAAGGGCAAACGACTCTAACCACTATCGATGGAAGGAAAAAAATAATAAAAGATCTTTAGGGAAAGAAAAATATATTAATCATTAAGGTAAAAGTAGGCCGAATTAGGTCAAAGAGCGACACTCTAGCTTTAACAGGATTGAATTAGGTCGAATACAGAATACCCATTGATTTGGGTTTAGTCTGTTCTCAATTAATGTCATAAGTTAATCAATTACAACTTTAACGGATAAAAGCTCCTCCAAAACTTTCGTTTAATTACAAAATGACCACCTTTTGGTGATGGGGGATTAATGACAGAAATATTGTTTTTTTATTTTTTAATTTACCACGAATATGGCCAATTAAAAACTATTGACAAAGATATTGTGTTTTTTAGCAAGGATTGGGGCGGGACCACCTGAGACTCAGGCGGGACTAAATTTTTAGCCAGTCCTGGGCGCTGGCGCCCCCGTCTCAAGCGGCCCCGCCTCAGTCAAAATTTTTTAATTAGTCTGAGGCGCTGGCGCCCGAGACTCAGGCGGGAGCGCCCCGGACTCATTTTTTTTTAAATTCGGACGGCTCCCACCTTATCCCCCCCCCCTCCCCTCCCACCTTATCCCCTCCCCACACCACACATTCCTCCCTTCTTCTTCCTCCCCCCAACCCCGAACCAGACCTCCTCCTCCTCCCTTCTTCTTCTTCCTCCACCCCAACCCCGCCGCCCGCCGCAACCGCACCGCCCCAGACTTAGGCGCCGCCGCCGCAGACTCGGGCGCCGCCGCCGCAAATAGGAGCGCCGCAGACAGGAGCGCCGCCGCCGCATGCAGGAGCGCCGCCGTCCCAGACTGAAGCGCCGCCGCCTTGGACTGAACCGGCGCCGCCCGAGATGTCCTCCGACGAAGAACCAGTCGCCGCCGGCAGAGGCAGAGGTAGAGGTCGGCGAGGTCGTGGTGGAGTCGGCGGCCGTTTGCGCGGTGAGACTCTCGTCGGCAGCTTGATTTTTTTTTTAATGTTTTGTGTTTTTTTTAATGTTTTGTTGCTTTGTTTTTGCAGTTCCGAGGCTGATGTTGATCCACCCAGTTATCACATGAAATATTTCTATCAGCGGCCACCTTCTTAAATTGCTCAACTTGACGATCAAACTTCTCCAACCGTTTTTCTCCGGCTAACAAAATAAACCACAACACGTGCTAGATAAATTAATGACAAAATTACATGAAAACAAATAACAAAATTAAATGAAGAAAGCTTACCGACTCGAAATAGTTGATTATACATAATTTTGCTTCGAGTCTTCCTTTGCAAATTGCTTGCATAGTGTCGCATGCACCACCTCCACTCCCAACCTCTTCCGATGTTATTCATGGCTTCATAGAGTCCTGCATGTCTATCTGAGATGATGCATACATCATTTCGATCAGTCAAACCCTGAACCTTCCTCATGAACCATGGCCAACTCTCAGTATTCTCGCTCTCCACTATGGCAAATGCAATTGGAAAAATCTTCCTCCGGCCATCAAATGAGCTCGCCATGAGTAGCACTCCTTTATACTTCCCAGTAAGAAATGTTCCATCCACAACCATGACGCCTGGACAATTCTTGAATCCATCTATACAAGGTCCATAAGCCCAGAATACTCGCTGAAATATTGAATGACCGGGTTGAGTTGAAGGAACTGTTACCCAATCAATCACCGATGTTGGCATTTTTCTCTTGACCACCCGCAAGAATGTTTGCAAAAAATCGTAGGATTCTTCCCAATTTCCATGCAACTTCTCCAATGCTCTTTGTTTCCCATACCAAGCCTTCTTGTAAGTAACTTGCATATTAAACTTATCTTTCAACTCGGCTTGAACAGTTAGAACACTCAGATTTGGTTGGGCACGTACCAAATGTTTGACGGCCTCAGATATCATGTCGACATCAAGATGGCGATGATCCGTCGGTTGAGTCGTACTGCTGCAATGATGCACCAACTCAGCTTTTCTCACAGTCCATTCGCCCCCAACATCTCGACATCCAAACCGCACCATCCAAGGACAATTGTCATCCTTGTGCCTCAAGCATCTGACCTTCCATATTGAAGGTGACGACCCCACCACGCCATATTGAAAGTTGCGTTGTAGTGCGTGGTGTTTAATCGCCATCTGTTCAGCTTGTTTCGAGTGAAATATCTGCCCCTTGTAGAATTCTCCTTCAAAACTATCAACAATAGGCATTGGAATTACGCCATATGAATCAGCAAGTGCAAATTCTTCGTCCTCTTCATTGCCCTGCAAGTAAAAATATGGAGGATAATTAAGCTGCTCTCCTTCCTCCTCCTCCTCCTCATCTTCCTCCTCTCCGTCATCACCGTGATCATAGTCATGATCGGATGGCACGCTCCATGTATCATCTTCTTCCTCTCCACCCTGATCATCACTGAGCTCAACATGTATCTCAGCACCCAAACAATAAGGATTTTGTGCCATAAAATTCCAAAGCACATCCAAGCTATCATCATCCACAATAGGTAACGCATAATGAAATAAAACATCATTCTGCCATTCTGGAAGACGGTAAGTGAAACCTGTGATCACATCACTATCTTTTACTGCTTCGTCTCTGCGCCGTATTCTCGGAATTAGAGTCTCACAAAGTTTGTGATATGTGACTCTGGATGGAACCGTCAACTGAAAACTACTACCACCAACGAATTTGACGCCCAAATTATCCTCTACTTTCTCCGATTTCCACCGAACAACTAGTTCAAATCTTCTAAAATCACTACAAAAAAACAAACTCACTAATTAAAAACTGATCAACTAGTTCATAATAGCATTTGAATAATACAATTACAAAAATAAATGTGTCTCTTACCTATTAGCCATTTTTGCAGCAGCAACCAGAGCTCTCTCCTCTATTTTTGGACGATTTTTTTTTGTGGTGTGAATCTGAAACGAAATAGTCTGGGTTTTATAGGGTGGGTGGCCAATCCACCTACTCGCCTCAGTCTCGGGCGCCATCGCCGGAGTCTTGATTTCCCACCTACTCGCTTCAGTCTCGGGCGCCGCCGCCTGAGTCTCGGGCGCCGCCGCCTGAGTCTCGGGCGCCACCGCCTGAGTCTTGAGCGCCGCCGCTGCCAACTAAATAAAATGGTCCAAAAACCAAGCTTAAGCGGCAGCGCCTGAGTCTCAGGTGTCCCCGCCGATTCTTATCTCTAAAACACAATATCTTTGTCAATAGTTTTTAACTTGCCTTATTCGTGGTAAATAAAAAAAAACAATATTTCTGTTATTAACCCGGTGATGGGACACTAAGAAAAAGCAAACCAGTAAGCTGGTTATTTGAATGAAGTTTTATTTTTATATATATAGCCAATGATCACAAAAAACAGGAAACAACAATCAATTAATAAGAAAAAAACAACAAGGGATTTAAAAACGGCATCGAGGCCAAACATTCGGCGGCGCCGGTAAATATTCCACGTCAATAACAGCACCATCGAACACCAAATAACGCCACAAGCGGGGAATACAATTGCCGGCGTCGTCCAGCCTCCTGCCGCGGAAGTAGAGGTTTATCTTGTCCCTAGGATACACCCTCCAGATGGGGCCGACGATCTGCTGTACCAGGTAATTCACGCGCTCCAACTCTCTCGTCGTGACGGTGAACGGGCGCGGGTAACAGGTGGAGTTGAGGGTGATGGTGATGCGGTCGTCGCCGGCTTCGAAATCCAAGTGGATGAAAGCCGGCACGCCCGCCTGGATTCCGTAGGATTCCAGAGTCCGCGCATTCTCCATCTTTGCATCTCCCAGCCACAGCTCTTGCCTTGCGACCCTGATTCCGTACTCGGCTTCGATCCTCGCCTTCACGCCTTCCACGGTTTCGGAGGCTGCCAGGCAGTCCAGGTGCACGACTGTGTCCACGGTGCGATACTTTCCGCTTCGTGGCGTTACGTACAAGTTCACGCACTCGTCCATTTCTAACATCCTGGGAATAAAAAGCCCATGGTACTGAAAATATCCATTTTATATGTATTATATATAAAACACAAAACTTCAGTTAACTAGTAAGTACTCTGCTGTGCTGGCATAGCTAACTGATCCGCTATATTAAGGCTCAAAACGAAGTATTTGCGCTCTTTCAGGTTCAACGGAATATACGATGTTTATGTAATTATATATTCTTGTATTACTATGTACTAATTTTTGTTTTTGTTTTTTGTTTTCTTTGACTGACACTAAATTTAGAAGAGAAATGTGAGACTTTTGACAAGTCAAATGCTAATTTAACTCTCATTTTCTTAGTCGAGTCACATATCTTTAGTTTTAAATTGAAATTATTTTTTTTTATAGAGAGAACACATTAATTACAGTTCACATAACGATATTCATTTTTTCTCTCTTCTTTTTTCTTTGAAATCCGTTCGACGTTTCTTCACTTTGATGGCGGGCACTACTGATGGAGATCAATCGAGCGCCGTCAGTTGGGGGTTGGTCGTGGAGATATATAATTGGTTGGTGTATCGCTCCGGATGTATGAAACAACTAGTCCTAGTTATTCTTCATAAGTTATACATGAGCAGTGGAGTCTGGGAATGTTAGCAAGAATATTTAGGTTCTTAATTAATACTCCCACTATACTGAAGTTCCCTATTGTACATGTCTCAAATCAGAAAGGTGCGACGGTTTTACACTAATGGAGAATAGGAAGCAGAAGTAGCTAACTGCATCAAGTGATCAACAAGCCTCAAGGGTAAAAAAATGCAGGGTTGTAGCCTTGTAGGCTTCCCTGAGGACCCTTTTTTGCAAAAATCAAAGTCATTTGAAAAGGTTGATGAGGGAAACTATGTTGGAATGTAAGCGGGTTTAACTCCCCTGACAAGCACTGTGTTGTGCTTAATAAACTTAAGAGTTCTATGTATATTGACCTAGTTGCAGTTTTAGAGACAAGAGTAGGTAAAAGTAATAGTAATGATATATTATATAAGAGTTTTTCAGCTTGGCAACATGAAAACAACTACAAAAAATCGCAGGCTTGTCGTGTTTGTTGTTAGATCCCACATTGTGTCAAAGAATTTATCCGAACTAATGGGCGACAAGGACCCTTTGGATTTCTCCCTTGAGGCATCACGCCGTTTGATCATGTAGGACTGCTATTTCTACACTCATCCTAAACGACTAAAATTTCCATTCTTGCACCTCAAAGGAGTGCTATATCGACTGAGCAATCATTCGAATCAACAAATAACAAAATAGAAGAAAATCAAGCATCAACACATATGAAAAGCAGACAATCGTATTAAACCAACTATTCATCGAGTTTACATGGTTATAACTCCTAGGTTTCACATACCTACGCAACTAAGGAACTTAGCCATCAATGGGGAGGGGTGCCTGGTTATTCATCGATGGAAACGAAGACACCAGGAGGCCCATAGGAATCAATGCCTTGAATAGAGAAAACAAGCCTTAGGCCACCGTTTTGGGCGCTGATTCTCCCTCCGAGGGTGGACTCGTTCGAATTCAGGAAGGTTGCTTTGTTGGTTTAGTAACGAACCTACCTTGACCTCTCATCTCCTCCTTTTCGAACTCTATTCTAGAGCCTAATTATAGATCTTCGATTAGGCTTTCTGACAAGGAAAAGTCGCCTCTCTTCATCATTCAGCCTATAAGAGTGCTCCAAACACGTGACTAGCTAATTAAAATGCTCTAGGATAACTTATTGACGAAGTGGACAACCTCCCTAAAATGGCACCGTCAGCTCTTCTTGCGCCCTCGATGTGCATTCTTCTTTAAGCATCAATGGGAATGGTTTTGGGTCATTCTTGATGGTTACATCAAGGTCACCCGTCCATGTAGTGCTCTAATGTGAGCACGTTTAACTTCGTAATTCTCATAAAAAATCCTACATTTCACCCCAAAACACGTCTTGTTAGTTAAGGTCGGTTTCTCAATTATGAATCAAGTATCTCTCTCGTACTTTTTTTTATAGGGATCACCTAACGTCTTTCCCCTTGGGACTCAATGTCCTCGTTGAGGTTTGACCCACCATCGTTCAAGAGGGACGCAGAGAGGCTCTGATACCACTTATTACATTCCTAACATTTTCTTGGCAAAGCTATTGTCCGCTTTAGGCCTTGACCCTCATGGTTTTTGCCTTGAGGTGCATATCAAAGTGACTTTCCATACGGTCACTCATCCTTGCAGTGCTACATAGTGCACACGTTTAACTTTATATTAGTTTTTTTGCCCGAGCTTTGCAGCAGTAAGATTTACAGTATATTAAATTGATTAATAAAAAATAACTATCATTCAAAATATTTATGTAATGTATTCATAATTTATAGATTGTTATAGAATGATATTACGTAAATTTTGCCTAATATATGGTCTAATGATAAAATTAAGGTAGAGCAAAGTCTTACATTTGATCTTATTTTAATGTAAAGTTAACTGACCTTATGGAACCTTAGTGTAATACAAATTGATGAGATGATGAATATTGTAGTTAATAATGAAGAAATTTTAATCAATAATATAAGAATTGAGTTACGAAAAGTAACACATTTGATTAAATTGTTATATAAAACATAATTGACTTTAGATCTTTGAAGAATGAAAATTTATGATATCGTAAATAATTTATAGAGCTTTATGTAACTTGTTTTTTTAAATTGATACATAAGAAATTACTACTCTTTATAAGTATGACATACTGTATTTCTCACAAGTAGCTTACTTTCTCACAATAAGCTTAATTTCTCACAAGAAATCCTTTGTTTTACTTCAAAACTTGTCTTATCTGTTAAGATCAATTTTTATTTATAAATTAATGTTCTCTCATATGTTTTGTCGATATGGAATTCACCTAAGATATTACATAAATCATTCCTACAAACAATGACTTCTTACCAATATACATGACAGATGAATGAGATTTGTTGCCCAAATCATCATCACAATCCACGAAGCTAAACAACCCCTTAATGAATTTTGACCTTCCAAGCCTCTTCCCCATCTCTTATTTTCGCAAGAGATACATTATTTTCTTTAAGAAATGACAAAATTTTATTCATGAATAAATTAATTTATGAAAATGTTGCCTTGTTATTTTTAATTTTAAAATTGAGTTGTTTGTCCCCTTCCAAAAAGGGCCACCTGAAATACATTCAAAGAATGAGAAACCAAAATTTAGTCAAAACCGTTCTCTATCTCCGCCTAGTAATCAGTGAACCATAACCATTAGTTCTGTCGAGTTCAGCAAGAAAAGGAGATAGGTGTTATATTTTTTTTGTCTTTCTGATTGAACATTTTCTTCTATATATGCGCATTATTTATTAATTATACCGTCATTAGTATAGAAAGAGATATTAAGGAGAGAGCTTAGCTTAGTAACAATGAAGGATCAAGAGCAGATGGGAGATGAGAGCGTTGTGTTATACATAATCGCGCGCGACGACCATACATTTGGTTCAGGACAAATGTTCGCGGAGCACAATTTCCTACCATCCCAGACAGTTGAAGACGTGAAGGCCAGGATCGAAGCTGCATACGGCATAGCCATCGAGCGACAGACTTTGTGGCTTGGCAGAAATAAGTTGACGAACAACAACACGCTAGATTCCTATAAAATCAACCGTCCCGCTGTTCCCACGGCCGTCCACTTGGAGATTGCTGCGGCAGCCAACGACGGTTTCCCGATCACTGTCAACCTGGTTTCACGTTTCTTCCGACTTCCATCCATGGCAATCACTTGCAAGGAAACGAACAAGGTGGCAGAGTTGAAGAAGCTTATACTCGCCAAATGGCCGCCTGGGTATGCCAGGACTAAAATTAACCTGTTCTGCCATGGCAGGATGCTGGCAGATGACGAGGCGACTTTGTTGCACTATCTGGTGTCTCATGGTGCTGTAATTCGTGTTAAATACTGGATCGAGGAACCGGTGGATCCCTTTCCATATTGCGTGACCCGCAAACTTTTATTCGATCCCCCATTTTTAAAAGATGATGAATGTTCACACATACTTACTTTAATTCGAAAATGATACTGATGCATCTGTTGGGCCTTGTGGCCAATTTTGGGGTTTAGTAATTAGGTATTATTTCTTATTAATTAATTGATGGGTATTATATTATATCGTTTATCTTTAGGATGTTTAATAATAATATTATTATTCATTGTCTTTTGAGAAAGTCATTGTTTACGTATTGGTTTCGGATTTATTTACCTTGTTTAAGGGGAAAGAGTTTGTGGGATTAGTCCTATATAAACATGTACTTTTGCTCTTCTTTTTCATTCAAGTAATAAAGTTCAGTAATTAGTAGGAAATTAGTTCTCTTTTATCGCATTCTTAAGCTCTTTTGTAGAATAACTCGAGTTCCATGATGATGTGTGAGAGTAGTGGGTTTGTATTGTAATATTCATTCTTCTAAGAATTATCAAAATCGCTACTAATAAATCATAAATCCAATACTATACATACCAAATTACTAGTACAAATATGGAAAAAAACGGTAGTAGTGTTTTTAGAGAATGAAGTGTTTTACTATGTATGGAGAGACATAGAGACGTGATGGAGAGGAGGGAGAGAGATGTGGGTTGAGGGAACATAACCGTATGCCACTAACATCCCCAATAAATATGCCCAGTACATCAAAATAACATTTATTTTCTTTATTTGTAACCATTAGATCTAAACTAGCATTGTACTAACCCCTACAGAGTTAGCGCACTATATTTCTTCCCCATGAGTCAATATAAATTAATAATACTTTGTGAGTCTTGATAAACTACTTTAAGTACCTAGCAACAATTAGTTCATCAGAGAACGCCAGATAGTGGATAATATCCTCCTTGGGCATGAGTTAATGCACTACTTAAAAATCAAAACTCAAGGTAAGAAAGGGTACATGGCTCTAAAGGTTCACATGGAAAAGACCTATGATAGAGTCGAATGGTCCTTTCTCCTCGCCGTTCTGGGTAAGATGGGTTTTAGCTCTGTCTGGAGTGGATGGATACATGAATGCCTTAGATCCGCATCGTTTTCGGTCCTTATGAATGACACCCCTTCGGGCTACTTCACACCTACCAGAGGTCTACGGCAGGGGGACCCTCTGTCACCGATTCTCTTTGTGCTATGCACGGAAGGGTTCGCAGCACTCCTCTCTAAAGATATCTCCGAGAAAAGACTTGATCGAGGGGGTTAAAGTGGCTCCTTGTGCTCCCCGAATCTCGCATCTTTTCTTTGCTGATGACTCTTATTTATTTCTTCGAAGCTCTCTCCAGGAATGTGAGAACTTGATCGAAGTCTTGAATGTATATGAGGAGTTAAGTGGCCCGAAAATTAACTTGGCCAAATCAGCCGTTTGTTTTAGCAAGAACATAGCTCCTCCAGACCAAGAATTCTTGGCTCAGATTCTGGGGGTCGGGGCGGTAGGGGTCTATGATAAATACTTGGGATTGACGTCTCTGATTGCCCAATCTAAGATGGTCACCTTCCAGTATTTAGAGGAAAAATTACTAGACCGATTAAAGGGATGGAAGCAGCTGACGCTATCATGGGCGGCTAAGGAGACTTTGATCAAATATGTTGCCTTAGCTTTACCCTTACATGTGATGTCGTATTTCAAGTTGCCTCTGTCTCTTTGTCGCATCCTCGATAAGCATGTGGCAAGGTTTTGGTGGGGTATGGGGATGGTCATTCAAGGATTCGGTGGATCTCCTGGCGTAAGATGTGAACGAGTAAACATGATGGGGGTAGTGGGGTTCCGTCATTTTGAACATGTTAATCAGGCGTTGTTTTCTCGAACCCCAGTCACTCTTAGCTGGGGTTGGCTAAGTATCAGGGAGTTGTTGAAGGCGGGGTTAATCTGGCAGATTGGTAATGGTCGGATGGCTTCTTTTCTGCATTCTAATTGGCTTCCTCGTTCGCCTCCCTCTACCCCGGTCTATAACCCTCGGGTAATCCCGGATGGGAAGGAGCTCCCTATTGCAGAGGTTATCTTCTAGGGGAAGGGGCGTTGCTGTGACCTGAAACTTTGCCAGTGGTTTGACCCGCCTACCTGTCGGGCCATCAAAGCTCTTCCTCTCCCCCGTCAGAATGTAGAGGATAGATTGATCTGGTGATAACATCGTATTTGCACATGTTTGCACCCTCATTTCTTGATCATTTTGGCTTGAGTTTTTTTATTTCTTGGACTATTTTATGCTAGGTTGTGTTCCTTTGTCACATTTCAGGTCCTAGCATGTAAATTGAAGCAAAGGCGCAAGTTTCAAGTCAATCGGAATTCATTTGGCAATTCGGGAGAAGAAACACGAGCATGACCTGCGGAATAATGGACTTCTAACTCATATTATGGACAAATATTCATGTAATCTTGTCATTAAAAGAAAAAGGGCGAGACTACGAGCGTCTGGGATCAAACGGCGACTGATTCGGAATCCGGACGAGGGAGAAACGAAGCATTAAACAGGGGCGGAGGAAGAATTACGGGCAGGAGAATTACGATTGTATTTTCCCCTCCCATGCCCGTATTTTCACTGCCGAGAGGAGCTTTGGATGCGCTGAAACTTAACCAAAACGCGTGTTTTGGGCAAAATACGAGCATGGAAGAATTACGACCGTATTTCTGCCCGTATTTCGCCCATAATCGGGTTTTTGAGGCAGATTCGAGCCAAAGGAAAGAGAGAGCTAGGTTTTGGATCCCAAACACCCAAGGGACGAACCCTAGAGAGAGAGAGAAGAGAGAGAGAGAGAGCGACTTGGGAACATTCTTGGAGCTATTTTGGAGGATTTCTTTGCCATTGGAGCTCAGGAATCAAGCTTGGAGATAGAGATTGAAGATCAATATAAGATTTATGCAGTCTCTCTCTTCTCTATGGAGTAACTTCCCTTCACTTAGGTTTTGAGGAACCCTAGTTCCATGGGTTAGGATCTTTCTTGTATGAAGTTTTGGATGCTATATTGTTTGATTATAATCGACTGAGGCATGATTTATAGAGTCAATTGAAGCCTGATCATCTTCTCTTGATTTCTGGTTTAACCTATGATAGATAGAATCTGATTAGGTTAAGAGAGCTTCCTTGATTGATAGTGGTGAATTGGTTGTGCGAGAGTCAATCAATTCACTGCTTTGTACTGGAATTCATTCCATTAGTGGAGATCTGTGTGAATTGCCTTAGGAGTCTATCCCGGTGAAGACTAGTCGCCTGCCGGGTATGCTGTCTAAGAGGGCTTGGTCAGCTTAAGAGATTCCAAGCTAATTTAGGATCTTTCGCAGTTTAATCAACAGTAGATCAACCAAAAGTAATTGCAACTTGGACCTAATTGAGGAGCTAGGGGGAATCATACCTAAGTGAGTTCCCAACTTATAATTAGTAGAGTACTTAGTAGAGTAGTTTAGTAAATTAATCCTTAATCTAGTTTGCTAGATAATGAACTGAAGCTGAGTAATAGTAACTCTAGAGACCCATGGATTCGACATTTATTACTTGTGCCACTATACTGCAGTCCTTTTCATTGGTTACACTTGGCCATTGTTAGGTGTTGTGTCGTAGCGATTCAAGTTTTTGGCGCCGTTGCCGGGGACTTTCTAGATTATTAGGAAAGGCAGAAGTTTGTTACTTTAGCGTTTTTTTTTCCACCCTTGCTTTTCACTTGGGTGTTTTTGTTGGTGCAGATCTGAATCATGGATCCTAATGGCTTCTCTAACCAGTGGGGGTATCCACCACCATCTGAGTGGTATTACCCCAAGACTTCCTGGAGCAATCAAGGAGGAGAGGACTATGGATTCGGGTCCCAGTACCAACCCCCTTACTACGGAGAACAATCAGACCCCTGGGCATATCAAGAACAACCTACTTATCCAGAAAAATTCCTCCCACAACTAGAAGGGCCATCAGATCTTGATTTAGCCACAACCCTCACGGGCCATCCGGCAGAGCCATGCTACACTACACAGCCAGATCCAAACTATCACTTGAGGCTTCTCATGGAGCAGATTGCTCGAGTACCTGAGAGATCCTTTCCCGAGATGGATCCTCATATCCAGGCCATGGCCCAAACTGACTTCTCCTTTCCCCGTGAAATAGAGGATACCCTTCGGAGCATAAAGAAGCACATAGAGGTCATTGAGAAAGCTTGTGCACAGTTTTCTCTAGACAACCTTTATACTGCCATACAAGTAGAGAAGGAGGAAGAAGAAGGCAATCATGAGGATGTTGAGGAGCATCCAGAAGTTGTCACGGAAAGCTCCCATGATAATCATGATCAAGTGTATCCTCTAGTGGTAGATTACAACTGTCCCCATTTCCGCTCTAATATGTTGGGCCCGAGCGATGAGATGCAAGATGATCTCATTGAAGAAATTACATGGCGACTTGCTCTCCAATCTGTGCTAGAAGAAGAAGAGCGAGAAAGGGTGAGGGAAGAAGTTGTGGAGGATGAGGAGGAAAGTAAAGAAGAGGAAGTTCTTGATATTTTCCAAGGGGAGAGGCCACATTCTGATGAAGGCAGGGGGGTTGAAGAAGCAAGTGGTGTCCAGGCTGAGGATGAAGTTGAGGTGGAAGAGGCTTGCACCGACCATGATTTACATGTGATATCTCCACCAAATTTAAAGGAACTGCTTAGCAAGGACCCATTTGCAATGTATCTTTGCCAGACCAAGGCCACATCGACATCGGTCCCTCTTGGTGGACGCGATGGTGGTCAGTCGATACGGTTATATTTGGTTTGGGGCAATGAGACAAGAGAAGAAACGAGGAAGAGGTCTCGAGGGTGGAGACTTCAGTTGCATCAAGTGCACGAGCCTTCATCACCTGCCACACCACCTGCTCGTGACTTGAGACTCCACCTCATAGATGAGAACCTCAACTTCAAAGAGGTTCTAGCATGGACCAAAACTTAGGAGCTACCGTCCGGCTCACGACGTGAAAGAAGCGCTTGTTGGGAGGCAACCCAACTAGTCGGTTCGCATTTCTTTCCCTATCTCTCCTCAGTTGAGTCAGTTTTGTTCTTTGATGTTAGAGTCAATAACTCAACCTTTGTGAGATTTTGTGTGTTGTTTGTGTTCCGACTACTCTCTCCTCCTAGAATGCACCGCCTGCCCCATCCACCATCATTCACCCTTGATCTGGTAACTTCGTTTTACCCTCCTTGTCTTTCCTCCATTGAGGACAATGTCGTGCTTAAGTGTGGGGGATGTTCGATTATGTATGCGTGTGAATGTTTGGCTGTATGTGTGTACTTGGAGCCTAGTCCACTGTCCAAATCTTGAGATTTGAGGGCTCCAAGTACTGTTGTTTGCATGATCGTATTGTCATTGTGAGTTTAATTGGCGAATCGAATGGCTTTCGAATGAATGCATGACAACTGGATTGTGACTAGGACAACCTATAATGATGACTGAGACGTGCAGTAGAGTTGTGTAGGGGTTCAGTTTTTCAATTGTTTGCTTACCAACTGTGACTTGGATTGATCACTTGTTCTTGACAGTCTTTTATGCATCTAGTTAAGGGAATCATAATGAGAGATAGAGCATATAGGTAGCCATGTGAGATTTGAGCCTGCTTGTTTCTTTCTTGTGCGATAGATCCCTCTTCCATGATGTGTAGCATTCACATTGTCATTAGCTAAGATGATGGAGGCATAGGATTGGCCCATGACCAAATTGACTGTCCTGATGTGTCATACCCCCTAGTCAGCCCTTTTGAGCCGTGTGTTATCCTTTCTTTCGGTCTACAATGGAAAATCACCCTTTTGCATCTCTTAGAAGGTTCCACAGAGTGGTTTTTACATGTTCTCTGTTGTTTCTGCTAAATATAATGTGAGGGTTGGAGGTAGTGCTTATAAATTGGGCATGTGTTTGAAAAATGTGCAGAGGTGATGGTTCTCTTAAGAAATGAAAAAAATTGAAAGAAAAACAAAGAAAAAAAATGAAAGCAAAAGAGAGCCACTACCAAAAACCTGAATAGTGTCCATTAAGTAGTGTTCCTTAGCAGTCTGGCTTGGAAATGCTAACATTTATATGACCTCCTCCGCTCTTGTGCTCTAGAGAATTTGAGTAATGCAGAATGGCAGAAAGAAAGTACTGGATTGATTGGTTGTGATTGTGTTGGGTTTGGAACTGTGGAACCTTGTGCTATGAATACTTCTACCACCTGACCCTAGCCAGTCATTTGAACCTGTGTCTAAGACCTCCGGATTAGTTAGTTATGACACCCATTTATGTGAACTCTAACATTTAGAGGTTGCCGTCATGGTGAAGAGACGTTAGGGATTGAGAGAATCAGTATGCGCATTTTTCGCATCAAATTGTCCTGACCCCACTGGTCGAGAGTGAGCGATTCATTTCCTTATTCTTTAAACTCTTTACCCCGGTGAGGACCTAGATGGCTCGGTCTTGATTCTGATGTCTTGAGTTTTATGCATGAGCTGACTGTCTTGAATAAGTGGTTGAGTCAAGTCTATGTTGGTTAGTGAACAGAAGGCAGACACTTTCTTTACCCGATTTTGCTGCACTCGAATGTCCTCTGTGGTGGTCGTCCAGGTTGCTGTTGAAGTTGTTCATGTGTTGATGTCTAAAAGCCAGTATGATTCCCGTATTTCGTGCCTATATGATATGTCCCCAAGGGTTTCATGGTTAAAATGTTTGAGCTTACCTTGTATTTGACTTGGTTTGCTTGGGGACAAGCAAACGGTTAAGCGTGGGGGAATTTGATAACATCGTATTTGCACATGTTTGCACCCTCATTTCTTGATCATTTTGGCTTGAGTTTTTTATTTCTTGGACTATTTTATGCTATGTTGTGTTCCTTTGTCACATTTCAAGTCCTAGCATGTAAATTGAAGCAAAGGCGCAAGTTTCAAGTCAATCTGAATTCATTTGGCAATTCGGGAGAAGAAACACGAGCATGACCTGAGGAATAATGGACTTCTACCTCATATTATGGACAAATATTCATGTAATCTCGTCATGAAAAGAAATAGGGCGAGACTACGAGCGTCTGGGATCAAACGACGACTGATTCGGAGTCCGAATGAGGGAGAAACGAAGCATTAAACAGGGGCGGAGGAAGAATTACGGGCAGGAGAATTACGACCGTATTTTTCCCTCCCATGCCCGTATTTTCACTGCCGAGAGGAGCTTTGGATGCGCTGAAACTTAACCAAAACGCGTGTTTTGGGAAAAATACAGGCATGGAAGAATTACGACCGTATTTCTGCCCGTATTTCGCCCATAATCAGGTTTTTGAGGCAGATTCAAGCCAAAGGAAAGAGAGAGCTGGGTTTTGGATCCCAAACACCCAAGGGACGAACCCTAGAGAGAGAGAGAGCGACTTGGGAACATTCTTGGAGCTATTTTGGAGGATTTCTTTGCCATTGGAGCTCGGGAATCAAGCTTGGAGATGGAGATTGAAGATCAATATCAGATTTCTGCAGTCTCTCTCTTCTCTATGGAGTAACTTCCCTTCACTTAGGTTTTGAGGAACCCTAGTTCCATGGGTTAGGATCTTTCTTGTATGAAGTTTTGGATGCTATATTGTTTGATTATAATCGACTGAGGCATGATTTATAGAGTCAATTGAAGCCTGATCATCTTCTCTTGATTTCTGTTTTAACCTATGATAGATAGAATCTGATTAGGTTAAGAGAGCTTCCTTGATTGATAGCGGTGAATTGGTTGTGTGAGAGTCAATCAATTCACTGCTTTGTACTGGAATTCTTACCAGTAGTGGAGATCTGTGTGAATCCCCTTAGCAGTCTATCCCGGTGAAGGCTAGTCGCCTGCCGGGTATTCTGTCTAAGAGGGCTTGGTCAGCTTAAGAGATTCCAAGCTAATTTAGGATCTTCCGCAGTTTAATCAATAGTAGATCAACCAAAAGTAATTGCAACTTGGACCTAATTGAGGAGCTAGGGGGAATCATACCTAAGTGAGTTCCCAACTTGTAATTAGTAGAGTACTTAGTAGAGTAGTTTAGTAAATCAATCCTTAATTTAGTTTGCTAGATAATGAACTGAAGCTAAGTAATAATAACTCTAGAGACCCGTTGATTCGATATTTATTACTTGTGCCACTATACTGCAGTCCCTTTCATTGGTTACACTTGGCCATTGTTAGGTGTTGTGTCGTAGCGAGTCATCTGGCATGGCACGAAAGACGGGGTGTTTACTGTTAAGTCAACCTACCACTTTGCTGTCTCTTTGGACAAGCAGAAGGGCTCCTGGCGGTCTATGGCGTGTTGGATGGATCAGACCAGTTGGATTCGTTTGTGGGAATCTAATATTCCGCCTAAGTTGAAGGTGTTTAATTGACAAATCTTTTACCGAATTCTGCCAACTACGGAAGCTATTATCGAGAAGGATGTTCCCGTTCTCCCTTGATGCTCGGTTTGCTGGGCAGAATCTGAGACTATGGAACACTTGTTTCTCTACTGTCTGGTAGCACGTGCCCTTTGGGATTACTCGGGGTTGGAGTATCTTGGCCAAGGGCTGCCTTGTCTTACTTTCCCTTTGTTCCTAAAGAAGTTGATGTCTTTCATACATCAGCCTGATTTGTTTATGGCGATTGTGGCGGTCCTTTGGCGGATCTGGAGGTCTCGTAACTGGGTTGTCTTTGAAGGCAAACAATATGGGTTTCCTTCTTTGATGCGCCAGTACCACCAGCAATACGAGGAGTGGGTAAACTTGCCACTGGATCGGGTGCCTCGATATTCCATCCCTGTAGTGCAGCAAAGTGGCCCTGTGGGGGGCAGATATGGCTGTTTGTATGTAGGATGGGGCTATCAGGAGTGGTTCCATTCGACAGGAGGGATGGTCATTTTGACCCCTGATAGGGAGGTCCTTTTGGCTAAAGGAATCCAGTTCCCGGTAATTGATGATCCAATGGTTGTTGAATTGCTTGTGCTCCGGGAGGCTATCCTATGGTGCCAAGGACTGGGCTTCACGGAATGAGGTTTGAAGGGGATGCTCAGGTGATCATTGAGAAGATTAATCGGGCAGATACAAGAGATAACCGGATGAGGATCATTCTTGAAGAGCTCGTGCAATACTTTGCCTTCAACTCGGGATTTAGTTTTCGATTTGTAGGTCGGCGTAGTAATAGGGTAGCCCATATGGTGACTAGAAAGGCCCTCTCTTTGTACCCGACCATGAGTCGTTTCTTTGATTTTCAGGCCTGGCTAATTCCAGGATGTAACTATCTTTTGCTCGAATCAATATAAGATTATTTTTGTAAAAAAAAAAACAATTAGCGGGATTCAATATAAATCAAGAAAACTATGTTGAGTCTTAAACTACTTTAAGTACCGAGCAACAATTATTGCTAGGCGTTGGAATTCTCCACCAATAAAACTTTTCTCTCTTTCAAAATTTAAAGTATATCTAGATATTTTTGGGTCTATTTTCACAATATATATGAATAGATGGATAAAGTTTCACTAAAATGAAAGACTTATTTTTAATTATAATATATATCAATAGAATAGACAAAATATAATGATTTATAGTTTCAAAATTTAACAAATAAGGTATGGTTTTAGACAAAGGTTACACAAATTCTATCACTAAATTTTGTTAAGGGTGATATATATTAAAGAAACCAAGCAAAAACAACAAATAGACAGAAGAACAAAAAAGTAAAACAGGGGAACATGCTCCCACCAAAAAAACCATCAGAGAGCCAGGCAAACGCCCAACAGAACAAACACTGCCTAGAAACCTGCAACTCGTCACACAATAGATCAGCTCATCAACAATCCGATTCTATTTTCTACAGTGCTGAAACATCCATAACCACCCACAACCAAGAAGACAAACTACGCCCCGCCAAATGGCCTGGGCATCAAACTATGAACGTCACGGTGTTGGTGGTCATGACTTCCTTGTTGGCCTGTTCTGGGAAGAATCAACCGGTTCCTCATCTCGCAAAGCCAGCTCTCCGCTATTCTTCTATCAACTGCATGGGTTGCAATCAACCATTGTGATATCGCGCAGCCAATCCTGTAGGCTACGACCCCTGTCGTCGAATTGCTGTCTTTGAAGGTCCTTGAATTTCTTTCAAACCAGATGTTCCAACAAAACGCATGTAGGAGAGCAAATGTGCACCATTGGGTCGGATTATTTGGTTTGTTGTGCATCCATCTTCTTATTCTATCTTTCATGTCACCATCCCTGCCTGCCCAGCTCGCAATTGGGATGAAGGTTCGGAGAATGCGCCAGACTTCAGAGGAGAAACTGCAGAATATGAACAAATGGTTGATCACCTCTTCGTCTTCTTTGCATAGAACGCATCTGTTTGCAAGCTGGAGCCCTTTCTTCTTTAAATTGTCAATGGTAAGGATTCTGCCATGGTAAATCAACCAAACAAACACACAAATCTTGCTTGGAATTATGTGTCTCCACACCGACTTGTATGGGAAATCATCTTCCCCCGGAAAAGTAGATTCAACCAGCTTCTCATAGGCTGAATGTACCGAGAACCCAGATGAGGGGTTGGGACTCCAGATAACTCTTCCCGGACCTGCAGTAAAGTCAGAAACAGAAAGGTTCTCCAGTAAAAAAAAAAGTCGCTCTCTTTCCCTCTCTGCCCCACCCCGAAGAGAAAGTTTCAGAGGAATTTCCCACCCAATATTTTCGCCCACAAAGGATATATGGTCAGCAACACGAGCATTCGGGGATTCAGCGGCAGCAAGCACCCTTGGAAATTCTTTGGCGAGGCATTTTCCCTGTATCCAGTAGTCAAACCAGAAAGAAGTCCAGTTTCCACTTCCTTGCTCAATTCGGGCCAAATTCCAAAAGTCACCCTTTAGCTTGAGAATTTGGAGCCAAGGACTACAACCCAATCCTCCAACACCTTCTCCACTGCTCCACTCAGAATTCGGATTTGAATACTTAAGGGATAGTAGCTCCCTCCACCAGCTCTTCCTTTCATTTGCGAACCGCCACAACCATTTGTATAGTAATGCCTTGTTGTGCAAATGAATATCGCGTAGCCCCAGTCCGCCTTGATTCTTAGGGGTCTTGCATAATTCCCACGAAATCAAGTGAAACTTGCTCTTATTTTGGGTTCCAGACCATAAAAAATCCCTTTGAATCCTCTCCAGCGTCTTAATTGTGCTCATAGGGGCAAAGAACAGAGAGCTTATATAACTGCTTTGGCTAGCGAGAACTGCGTTAATCAGGACAATTTGTCCTCCAATTGAAAGATATTTCCCTTTCCAGCCATCCAATTTGTTCTGCATTCTGATGACAACCCGATTCCAATAAGTAGGCGAAGCCGGGTGAGCTCCAAGCGGCATTCCCAGGTAAAGGGTTGGAAGGAAACCCAATCACATCCAAGAACCTCAGCTAGCCTGTCGATGTTTTGAACTTCGCCGATTGGAAAGATTTGGGTCTTTTCCAAGTTTATTCTGAGGCCTGTAACAGCCTGAAAACAAACCAGGGCAGCAAGTACGTTCGTTACCTCATCCTCCGTGGCTTCACAGAATATCACAGCATTATCAGCGTATAGAAGATGCGTTACTTCTCCTCGTCGTCCCACCTCATCGAAGCAAAATCCAGTCAATAGGCCAGCCTCGCTGATTTTCTTTAACATAAAAGACAGCAGGTCCATTCCCACACTAAACAGAAACGGAGAAAGTGGGTCACCCTGTTTGACACCCCTTTCCATACCGAAGAAGCCCACTGCTTCACCGTTGACTAGAACCGACATTCTAGAAGATGACATAATGCCAGCCAACCATTTTACAAAACTTTGATGCAATCCGAAGCTCGTGAGTTCCTTGAGGATGCATTTCCAATTTATCGTGTCAAAAGCCTTCTCGATGTCAAGTTTTATGACTAGTCCAGTTTTCCCACTTCTCCTTCTACTATCAATGACTTCATTGGCGATAAGGCAGGTTTCATGGATTGTTTTACCTTTCTTCTCGCCGAACTGATGTTTTGAGATGACGATGTTGATGAAGGGTTGGATTCGGTTGAAGAGCATCTTAGAAATGAGCTTGTTGAGGCTGCCCACAAGCCTAATGGGCCTGAAATCGGATATTTCTTCAACTGCATCTTTCTTGGGAATTAGGCAGATGAATGAGTGAGCAATTGAGTGTGGTAGACTTCCTGTGAGGTAAAAATCATCCATAGATTTGATCAAATCTGCCTTGAGTATGTTCCAAGCTTTTTTGAAGAACGCAAGAGTATACCCGTCGGGTCCCGGGGCCTTGTCACCATCGCATTGATTAACTGCTTGTAATATTTCAGCTTCGGTAAAAGGTTTGATTAGCTTCTCATTTTCTTCTGCTGACAATAAGGGAAGCGTATATCCAGAAGGAAAGGGTCTATCCAAGATATCCTCAGAGAACTTATGTTGAAAAGCTTCCTTGAAAGCAGCCTTGATCTCGTTACTATCATCTGTAAGCCTTCTATCAACCCTTAATCTCTTAATTAAATTCCTCCGTCGATTGGCCTTCGCCACTCTGTGAAAGAAGGGTTTATTTTTATCCCCTGATTTGAGCCACAACTCCCTGGATTTCTGTCTCCACATAATTTCCTCCATAATCAGCAGTTTTTCTAGCTCACCCTTTGCTAGTGATCTTTCTGTTGCCAAGGAAATACCAATCTCACCTGCTTCTTCCTCATCATCAATGCTTTTGATTCTTGTCAATAGACCAGCAATCTTCCTATCCACTCTTCCAAAAATCTCACGGTTCCACATTTTAATTAGAAACTTGGCTTGTCTGCACTTTTGACCAAACCTGAACAGGTGGCTGGTTCCTCTTACTGGGACATTCCACCATCCAACTAAACTGGTGAGGAAGGACTCCTCTTTAAGCCAAGCATTTTCGAACCTCCAAGGGTATCGAATTTCCTCCCTCCCTCCCCATTGTAGTAGTATTGGGTTGTGATCTGATTCGACTCTGTCCAGCGCGAAAAGAGATTCAGGGGAGAATTCATCCTCGAAGTTAGCATTGATTAGAGCTCTATCAATGCGAGATAAGGTATTCTCAGTGCCTCCTCTGCTCCAGGTAAATTTTGCTCCTTGAAGTGGCAATTCAGCGAGATTGAACCTCCCAATGAAGCTCTTGAATTCATCCATGAGTTCAATATTTTGAGGTCTACCGGTATAATCCTCGTGCGATCTGATTAAGTTGAAGTCTCCCAATATACAAAGTGCCTCTGAGTAATTGGTGCAGACGAGCTCAAGTTCCTTCAAAAAGTCAAGCTTGTCTTCCTTTTCCTGAGGACCATACACAAACAAGATGGATATGATTTCTCCACTATTAGTTATCCTAAGTCTGACCGCCAGTGAGTACTTCCCTTCCCATAATGATAGAGCTTCATACATTCTGCAATCCCAGTAAATTGCGATACCTCCACTAGCACCACCGAATCCTTGGCTGCCCAGTCCACTGATCTAGATCTGCTAACTGAGTAGATAAGGTGTTGATCACACTTCTTCCATTTGGTTTCTATAAGGCCGACGATTGAAGGCCTCAACCTCTTAAGTATTGATTTTATCTTTGCTCTTTTGGAAGGGTTCCCCAAGCCTCTCACATTCCAGGCAATAACTGAGTGCATCATGAAATAATAGGGCCATTGGCATTGATGTTCTCCCCGGATCGATCTGTCATGCGACTTCTGCTGCTGTCCTTCGCATACACAGACCTTTTCCGATACTTGGCAGTCGAAGCGGTGCAGATTTCACATTCCAATCTTCGCTTTTCCATTTCTAATTTCGATCTAGGTTCCCTTCGCCTTCTCTTGTTGACTTCTTTAGCCGCTTCCCTTATCCGCTTTTCTGCTTCGCCACCTGCTCCGTCTGATTGGAGATTAAGAATTCTGCAAACATCTAACGATCTACTAACAAGTACTGAGCAATCTCTCTGAGCTTGCCAGGCCGATGTCGATTCTGGGGTAATAGGATTATAGGGGATGATTGCAAATCCATTGTCACCAGGAGGGCTAGGAGGGGGGAAGGAGGCGAAGATGCATCAACAAGGTCCAACCCAACCCCGCGGGGAGTTTGTTGAGGTGAGGAAAAATCGATTAAGGGAAATGGATCGGGTGCAGGGGAAAAGGGTTCAAGGGAGTAAGGATTTGGCAAAAGGATGGGGTGAGGGTTAAGAGCTGGGTACCGAATATTTAGCACGATTGGAAAACGGGGGAGGTTGGGTAAAGGAATTGAAAAGGTTGCAGGGTGGATAAGGAGAGGTAGAAGGGTAAGGCAAGCTTCAGCAACTATGGAGCCATGGAACAAATTCCAGTGGTTGAGGACACAAATCGGATTAGGAAGGGGAGGGGGGTCGGGGATCTGAAGAGAGGAAGGGTTACAAGCAGGTGAGTAGAAATGATCAAGATTGGGATCAGCAGGTGAATTAGAAACGTCAGGGTGCAAGTAGGGCTTATGGGCGGTAGAAGAGTCAATTGGGTTTAGGGATCGCGAAATGGGCTTGGGTTTAGGGAGTGGGCC